GCTTTCATTCGAAGCTTATGATTCCTCTATATATATTGCGTTTTGATCATTCTTTCAATCAATTCATAAAATATACATATACGTCTACTTCTTTCATCCTTTTTCATGCGGAATAGTCTCTTAGATGTACGTGTGTGATTAGAATGTAAATCATATAATTATTGTTAAATAATTATTTAAAATGACGTCTCTAATCTATAATTTAACAGCGAAATAAAATCATAACGAGATATAATTATAGCGATTACAAATCGAAGTAAAAAAAAGACGGACTAAGATTTGTATTGGTAATCTGAATGCAATTGTTTAATTACGAATTCAATGCGTCAGATACATAAATAAAATCGTAACGCAATATTATCTCGAGCTTTAGAAGATAAATTTAGCATTAAATGTGAGATGTAAAGCTCTAAAAATAACAATGAGCGAATGATGCTGGGAGTGAGAAAAAAAATATCGTACTGCGATTATAATTAAATCATTTTTATTCTCTCATACGTCGATTCGGTAAAATCTCTTAAACTCAATCTGTATCTCTCATATACATATATAGAATTTCTCTTTCATATGCTACATCTATTCTCAGGACATTCGTAGAACGTTACCGGTTCGGCAATAATTATTTACATATTTTAGATTACCACGCACATTCACACGCGTCATCCATCCTCACACACACGTGTGTACACCGAATGCTCTAGGAGCCAAATTGTTCCCAGAGCACTACTGAAAAAGAGTTTCCTTACATTTTCAACAACAACAAGGGACTCGCAAACAGTGTCACCGGTGTCTAAAAAAGATATTCCAAATAGATACCTCGAGTTTTAGAAAAACAGATATACACACAAATAAACAGCTCAATCACCGTAAGAACTTCGATCTCGAATCACTCTGTCGGTCGACATGAATTTGTACCCGTTATTGTACCAATTTATAATTACATTATCTCTAACAAACGATATACACATTTTCTTTTTACATAAAATTATAAATTACAAAGATTTAACATCAAGAACCAATGAATTCACTTCCTCCAGATATTTTCGCGCGCTATAAACGACGAAAGGATGAAGTAAACTCAGAGTGTGATACTTGAAAAATATCTCCGAATTTATAAAATTAATTCTTCGAATTTTCTTGCTGGCGGCAAAAGAAAATCATTGCTTCTCCATCAAACGACTGAATTTGTCGCAGAATTGACGAGAGATTCGTTACAGACGCGAGTGTAGACAAAACCTAAATTTCGACCCTCTCCTTCCCGATATAATCGTATTAAAATACACTTGAATAGAGAAATCGCTACAAAAATCTTGCAAGATTTATAAATTCTTTTTCTAGTATTCAAACGTATGTTTTAGGGAATGACAGGGCAGAAAGGATCGTCCTTCGACTTTGTACGATTAACGCTTTGTACAATTTCGGTCCAAGTTACAACGTCCGCGATCATTTCTGGACCACGGCTTTGGAGCATGGCATAGTTTTAGGATTAATATTCGCATTTCACTGGGAAATAAATGCGCGTGCAATTGCAATGTCATAAAATTATTATATATAATTCTCTATTACGCGGAAAACTGTACATGTCGCAAAAAATAAACGCTCTAATTGCACGCGCAACATCTGATCTCTCTCGATAAAATTCTCAGTTTATCAAAATCACTTTTGGCGGGTTTAATTTGTTAGTTTTTTTTTTTGGCAATTCAAAATGTTGCTTTGAGACGTTTGCCAAGATATTTCAATGGAAATATTGGCGCAAAATCTAATAGACAAGTACAACTGATTATTTTGTTTATCACCATTATCCGCTTGGTCAAATACATAGAAGAATACCAAAAATTCAGCGATTATTTGTTACTTATTGTCAATAGAATACATAGAAACTTGCGCTTGTAATTCACTGTTTGACAAATTGTAAGCTGCAGAGTAAAAATGCCATAATTGCACGTGCAATTATTACTCAGCGCGAGACAGGTACAAGAATGCTTGTAGTTGTCCGTCGCAAGAGCGACGATCTTATTCTACATAACATTAGCCACTAGCAACGTGGCGAATATATATAATGTATTCATATCATATACATGTGCATACGTAAACATGATAATACGTATGCACATGTATATATATATTTATACATACATACGTATGTATGTTATATATTTACATTTGTAACGAGATTTTGTAAGAGTAAATAACCACAAAAAAACGAGATATAATTTAAGATACAATAATAGAATAATTTCGTTTTTCCAAAAATTGCGAGCTACCTAAACGCGATAAGTTTGACGATATTTTCGACAAGACTCGAATCTGTTTTTAATGTACGTAACGATATAAAAAAAGACATGTGTATATATAATATCTAAGTATAATGTTACTCGATGAAAATTGCGCCAATTTCCAAGCTCTGAATGTTAATAAATAAAACAAAGTAACATAAAGCAATAAAATTAATAAAGCAATAATCTTCTAATAAACCTTAATTCTATTACAAAAGGTACAAAAGATATATCTTATTTACATAAAAACAAATATATGTATACATATATATAAACCTGTCTAAAACACTGTTTAAAACAAGAAAGTCATATATTTATATATTTATATATATATATATATATATATATTTATATATATATATATCAATAAGAATTTCATCTACATTGCAGATGACTTTTAAGTTATTTTTGTTTTTTTTATATAAGTTATAAACAAAAAGATAATAAATTGCTTTATAATATTTTTAAAAATGTAACTATAATATTATGTAAAAGGTAAGAACGTTTTTCCTGCTTCGTATATTGTTAGAACTTCATTTAAGTAAGTTCTCTTACAAAACAGATTCGAGTCGCCTTCGAAACTTATCGTTTGTGATGTAATGCATGATCACTCAGTAATCGCGAATATTTTTCAATAGCGTTCTCCTGCAATCAATACACACATTACATACCACACACCCGTACATACAAATATACATAAATGTACAGAACATCTCAGAGAATATGGTAACCAATAATAGAAATCTTATCTCCTTAATAAAACTAAAAAATTCAACATAGCTAAACAAAAAATCTTTTAAGCAACCTTTTAATTTTTAACATTAAATATCTTCATCGATCTCTGCAAATACAAATAGAATCTCTAATTAATTAAAAAATCTTATTTTTTATTTACATTCCTAAAACTTGATTCGTTGCGTCTCTTTATTATCAATATGCCGATAGTAAATTATACTAAATTATTATACAAAATATTAAATATGGCTTTTAAACTATATTAAGAAAACAGCTTCAAATATCTTTGACAGCAATCTATTAATGATTCTCATATTTTCTGCGATATACTATATGCAAGGCATTAAGGAAGTTTTTCAATTTTAGTTAAGAGTGATGTACACTTAAGTAATAATTCGTTAAAGTATTTCGTTTAAGGTAATCGCCACATTTCTTACTTAGGTCAGTGTTCCTTAAACTGTGTTCCACGAAAATCTGGAAATATATAACAGATAATTCTACATTGATTAGTATGTTAATTGCGACAAATATTTATCCTTCTTTATGTCTATATATATATATATTTCACTATAGTTCATCCAACACAAATAAGATTTAATCATAAAAAGAAAGTTACACTGAAAAAGTTTATACTATTCCTTATGTTTTATATACAAGGTGTTCTCCTTCGTTCAGATGTCCTTTCATGCACATGCACACAAAGATATTCTTTTATTTATAATATAGATATTTGTTTAATAAAAATTAGCAATTTTTAACATTTCTATTTACTATTTATTGTTGCATCGACGCTGAAATAATCATCGCTTATTCTGTTTTTAATTTCTAATTGAAAGGACATCAATGATTGTGTAGTGAAACACCCTATAGTTGTAACTTCCGCCTGCTTAAGGAAAATCTTCAGAGGCTCGAGGCACGACAAAGAAAAAACTCTATCTCCTTTGGTGTCCCGTGTTTTGTAAGTTTAAGAAGCACTGGCGTTACATTGATCACTGCCAGCGTGTAATATCTACGCGCGGCGAGAGACAGTGGTGCATGTTAAGTTTACAATTTCCCAAGACAGATCGACTGTCTTCGGGACTAGAATCGATCGTCTACTGTACATTTTGTATTTCATCTTCCTCTATTTTCCAACAGTTGCGCCTCCCCGCGAAATAAAAAATAATCGACAAAAAACTAGCTATAGTACATAAGACACTTATTATAGTTAAAAATTAAGTTTTCAACGCTCGCTTATTATGTGTACTTCATGTATCACGGGGTCGTCAAAAAATTCGCGTCGTGAATTAATTCCGCATATTATTTCGACATGCAACAACTCCAAAGATCTGTGGAATATGGATTTGCGAAAATACATTACTTTACAGATTTAAGAGTATAAAATGAAAGATAAAGATCCATAAAGTGCTATATATGCAAGATATTATGATACTATAGTACTATTCATAATAATAATCCGAATTCACAAAGATACATGGTACCGAAATACCTGTATACATAAAAATAGTAAGAAACAAGAATTATTTAAAAGAGGACACAATTATTATATTAACACAATTATCATAGTAACAATGATTAAAATAGGTTGCTAGTTCATACTCAAAATTTGTAATGGTAAATGTCTTTAAGTTGTCTAGAAACTAAGAACTTCTAAGCGCAAAAGCGCGGAAGGATAAGAAAACCAAGAGTCTATAATATCAAAGATACATGGACCTAAAAATCCATAAAAGGATGTAAGTAAATAATTGTAAGTGTTCACGGAATCAACAGTCCTTGGAGCCAAGCGTGTATCTGTTTTGCATCAACGACCTCCGAAAGAATGATAGACAGTTTCAAATAGCATTCAAATCCGCCAGTTGGCATAGCGCCGATACTTTGGCTCGAGCTGCATCATCACTTCTTTCAATTCGTCGATTTCATCATCGTCGACATCAAACTCGCTTGCCTTGTTCTCTTTACTATCCTTTGCTTCCTTCTCTTCTTTCTTCGCTGCATTATTTCGGGCTGCAAAAAATAAAGTATTTTCTTTGTCCCATAAACTAATATTCGTGCGAATATATAAATTGTGCATTTTGCATTTTGAAAGAAAAGCTGTGCATAAACTTTCAAACAGTAAAGTTAACAGTTTAAATAAAATCTTAGACAATAACGAAGTTAAAATTTATAATTTAATTATTTATTGTAAAACTGTAGCTATTGTAAAATTGTAACTATATTCAATTTACTATAAAATTATATTATTAGGTGTTGGAATTAATTCGTAGCGTTTTACAAGTGATGGGAAGTACTTTCATTAATGTATTTTTTAATGCTCATGTGAAATAAATAACATTCTTTCATTAAAAAACGCTACGAATTAATTCCAACACCTAATATATTATACAATATTGAAATTTTCGTGATAAAGATGCAATGGCAAAGGAAGCATCAAAAGGAAAATGTACACAATAAGAGGAAAATATACATGTATACAGACAAGATACAGAGGAACACAAAATTATATAAAACAAGTGTAAAAATTGAATTTGTCTTTTAAACACTTTGTTAATAAAGCAAAGATGTTAATGTGTTTACTAAAAATAGACGAGGTCAAAGTAATTTAGCAAGGGAGCAAACGAAAAGTTCGCCAAGTGCAAGGTAAAAATTAAGTTGAAAGTAGAAATCTTATAACAATACATCAGTCTTTGAAGATTTTCGAATGCTCATAATAATTCCACAAAAGAAACGAGATAATTCTACCCTTCGTTCTGTTTAACGATTATTTTTTAACATTTCATTACATTTAATTCACGATGGGCAGAGCATTCGAAACTTTTTGAAGTTCTCTTCTTTAAACATTCCCAGCAATAGCAACAACGAAAGCTGATGCCGTGAGTTGCAAAAGCGAATAAGCAGAAAGCCAAGAAAAGTCGAAGTTTAGTGAAAGAAATATCCTTTCCATCAGTCACGTAAACACTTAGAATGTATGGCTCTTCCACACAAATACATAGCATAAATCGTCCATTCACAAGTGTGCAATCTTTGCAGACATTGTTATTCTTGTTTCTTAACAATTTTGAGTTGAAAGACTAGTATGACGAAATCACATAAGTATCAGGAAAACTCAATTTTAAGTGAAATTTATATCTGATTGAACTATGTCATGGAAATTGTGATGAACCGAAGAGAACTTATTATACTGTTCTCTTAACTAAATAATTCTCTAAATCCCAAACGAATTGTCTGGCTCTTTCAACAGCCATATGTGACAGCATATTGGTGAGAGTAACGTCTGTAAGCATATTTTTTCCCGGTGCGGAATATTTGCCACATATTTTATTCTTCTCATCTGTCGTGATTATGTTGCTGAGATTATAAGCCACGTCGAGTGTATATCACGCGTAATGCATTCTAGGATTCTTGTAGGAAGTTCCGAAGAAGCTGAGAAGAAGGCACCGCCCGGTACCCGCGATCAATATACTCACCTGGTGCCATGCACGGCTGCGGGAGAGTGCGCGACGTCTTCGTCGGAGATGGGCCGTGCCGTACTGACGATCGTACATTTGATGCTGTTGAGGTAGGAATGCGCGACGCCATCGTTTATGCTGTCGTTATCTACCAGTCCTGCCTCCCTCGCTAAGAAATCCGACGCGAATTCCCCGTATTCGTCATTGTCATCGTCCACACCGGTGTCGTCGCGCGAGGGCCTCTTCGGGACCATGCCAACCTCCAGCGTCCGCTCGGCTGCGGACTCTGCCTTGATGCATATCGATGAGCACTCCGACTCGATCCCGGAGTCCACGCTCTCCTGAAGGCTGCTGCGGGGCGGCGGCAATGGATGCGTGTCCACCGTTCCGACGACAGCGTCGTCGATCGTCAAAACAGTTTCTTCGATACCAGAATCTTGGCTGTTCCTGTGCATACTCTCGGGATTCTCGATTAGCAGCGTGCTCGTCGATGTAGTCCTCGAAGCAGACAGCTCGAAGTACGACTCCGTCACCTTGGCACCTTCATTCGGCGAACTTCTGGACGGAACACTCGGCGACAGCTCGTCCTCAACGGATGTGCCGTCCGTGGAGATGTCCGTCATGCAGAATATGAGCTCCTCCGCGTCGGACTTGTCTAGATTTGCAGACGTCTCGTATGATGGCGTGACGAGGATGGTCGGGTCGATCCGCCTGCTATCGTCGACATCTTCCGGCTGTTCCTCGGTCTCGGTCTCTTTAAGGATAGTTCGATGTGTATCGACATTATTTGGCATAAAAGACTGTCCTTCAAGATGCTCCCCGAGCGCCTTCTGGCTCCCAGAATTCGTCGTCACCGATTCACATGGTTCTACCTTAATATTTACACTTGTACTTTTATGGTCGGCGGAAATGCGGCAAGCATCATTATCAAGGACTTCCACCAGGTCCTCCTTTTCCTCTTTCCTCTTTATAGATTCGCATCGACGATCTTGGTCGACAACGCAGCACATGCTATTGGTAACTTCCTCGTTTAAGTGCTCCGAGTCAACGTCCTTCAATGACCTCGATGACACCTCGACGTCATCTGTTAATGTCGACGATGCCCAGATATCGTTCCACGACATCCCGCAGTTGCCTGGTGAATATTTAATCATGCCGACATCGTCGTCCGAATTCGTCGACGATTTCGTAGTACTTACGCTATCTACGGTTTTCCTATCATGCCCTATGTTACAAATCGGAAAACTATTATCACTAGTCTGATTAATACTGTCCGTGGTTGTATCACATGTCCTCGCCGTTAAGGCATTCGCTCCTCCAACTGCATCATTATGTTTTAAACACTCTGTGTCGTTATTCCCTAAAACTTTCGCTCCGTATTCTAAATCTTCCAGATTGTCGCGTTTTAAGCGTTCAATATTATTACGCTCTGCATGTCCTAAATTCTGCGCGTCATCACGTTTTCCCCGATTCTCATCATTACTAATAAAATCATCATTACACCCTGTACTGTCGGTCTTACTTAATTCTAAAGCAGAATATCCGGCTACATCCATTAACTTTATATCTATACATACAGTGGATTTGCTCGCTGGCAACGATGAAGCCGCCACATCCGGCTCGACATAGCCGCTATCTAATACTAAATTATCAACAAAATCATCCTTTGATTGCACACTTTCAGGTAACAGTCGATCACTAAGATCAGACTTTGTCCATTGTAATTTATCTGTGCAACGCACACTGTCCTCCGTAACACTCTTTTCATTAATATGTACAATTTGTATATCCATGGAATCTTTCTCATCGTTTCTCGCGATCCTATTGTTCTGATCTTCCAAGTTCTCGCTGCTTCTCACAGACATCTTCTCCAGATTGATTAAATAGTGCTCATTGTTATTCACAATCTCATCTCTTCCTTGATTTTGTACATTCTCATTGTCTTCAATAATCTGAGTTTTCTCTTGATCCTCAAAGCTTTTATTAGTGCTCCTAATAACTTCTTCTTTCTCTTGATCTTCTAAGTCTCTCTCGGTTTTCACAACCTGATTTTTTATCTGAACAAATAAATTACTCTCATCGTTCAAAACCTGATTCTCTTCCTGACCGATTAAATTCTTTTCATCGTCTTTGATATCATTAAATGACTTCTCTTCGTCTTTTCTCCCCACTTCATTATTTTCTTGGACGAATAAATCGTCCTCGTCATTCCTGACAATGATCTGATTATTTTCTTTAACGATTAAACTACTCTCATCATTTTCGATAATCCGATTTCGCTCTTGACTACGTGAATTACCTTTGCCGACCTCTTGCCCGATCAGATTATTACCATCGTTTCTCACAACTTGATTTTTCTTCTGATTAAATAAATCTTCTTTGTTTATCCTCGCAATTTCGACTTCTGTCGATTTTTCCAAATCTTTCTCTCTAACATTCGTATTCTGATCCTTCTCCTGATCAAAAAATTTGGTATTATGTTCAATGAGACTCGGTTGAGGTTCGAGCTTAAAAGATGCAAATATGTTAGTCAGACTCTGTAACTGCGATACATTTACTCTCACTGATCTATTTTTCAATAAAGATCCAGGTTCTGAAGACCATGAACTTTCGGTGTTAATCTTAGTTCGGCCTTCCTTCAGGTACTGCTGCAGCTTATCGCCCAATGCCATCATACCACTTACGTTCTCCTGCAAAGAACTTTTCGTGTCTGCGGCAGCGCTTGAAGAGTCTGAGAAGAATTGGCCAGGATGCTGGAACAAGGACAGAAGTTTCTCTAGACTGGACTTGTGCCTCTGCACTGACGTATTTGCCTGTTCTCGTGAATGTGACTCTGCTATGTGAGTCGAGGTAGTACTTACGGAAGACTCCAAAGCGCAAGAGGACAATCCTTCTGAAGTCGTCCAATTTACGCGCAATTCCGATGTGTCATCCGAGGATGATTTTATCAAGGCTTTATCCTCGACTACGTTAATCCTCATCGAGGCCGTATCCTCGTTCGGATATGCAGGTACCTGTAGTTCTTTTGTACTCGTATACACAATGCGCTGATCCTCGATCGCCTTAGTATCCCTATCGGGCGTCGCAATACTATCGAGATCTCTTGTAACATCGTTCGCCGCCACATCGCAATGTATTTTGCGAATCGTCATGATATCCTCGTTTTTTTCAGATTGCAATATCGCAGTTGCGTCATTCTGAACTAATCGCTCTTCTTCAGCTTTCGTTACTGCATCGCGTTCATTCCTACACGTTCCAGTAATGCTCTTATCTGTCCAAAATCGCTGTTCAACTTGGTATACATCCGATCGTTCCTCCTTTCCTTTTGTTCCTTTGTCACAACTATCTTCACTTTTGGCAATATCTTCGTTTGGGGACATTTTTGTCGATGTCGCAACTACATTAAGCGTATCTACAGACACGGTTGTGCTATCATTAGCGGCTTGCGTCACATGCGTGTCCATCTTGGTTGCGCTGCCACGATCGTCGGAGTCGGCCGTGTTGAGTGTGACGTTAAAACCGATTGTGACTGAGCTGCCGCTGGAGGATGCGACGACCGATTTGGGCGACGAGCAGTCGGCGCCGGCCGACTCGACGACCGACACGCGGAACCGCGACGGACCGCCGCTTGTATTGGGGAAGAAAGACGGGGAAGAACCGAGGGACGGGGAGGAGCCAAGGGACGGCGGTGTGACCGGCGAAGAGGACACCGAGGAGTCGGCAGAACGCAACGATGCTTCCGATACTCGACACACGACGAAGCGATTCCGGGATGGGCTGGGGATTGGACTGGCCACGGGAGAGGGAATAGGACTGGGAGCCGGGGAGCGCAAACGGCCTCCGCTAGTGCGCTTTGGCTCCAGCATGCGCGTTGCCGGCTCATCGGCGGCTAACATCACCGATCGCGACGGACTTGGCAGTGTCTGACAGGTAAGCGAGATCTTACGGGAACTCGCGTTCAGCAATCGGCTTGAATGCCGTGGACTCTCAACATCCTCGGTGGATTCCTCTAGTAGACGGCGTTCCTCATTCCGGCTACAATAATTGCGAATCTCCGCAGCCATTATTCTATACTCGTGCAAGGGACCGTCCTTTGCGTTTGAAAAATAAAGATAATTATTAAACATAAGAATTGTATGTACACACAATTATAAAACATTTTTAAACAAATTGCACGAATAACATTTTGTTATTCATAAGTTTTTAATACAAACATTATACATAAATGCAAAAGTTTCTATATAAAATAAATATTAACACTCACTATTCTTATCCGAGGTTTGTCATCCAAATCGATCTGTGTAATGGTCTTGTTCTTTTTCATAACATTCACGAGAGCATGCATTCCGCGCATCTGTATAGTATTATCCCGTAAATCTATCCTCTGCAGAAGAAAGGTATGATATAGTACACAGCGAAACATTGAAAGCATAAGCGAAAACTTTACCTGCAAAACTTGATTCGTCTCCATTATTTCAGCGAGTGTAATTATTCCATCACATGTGAGTTCCGTAGATTGCATGCCCAATTGTAGGAGAACACGATTTTGCTTCAATGATTCATTAACGATGCTCAATGTCTCATCCGTTAACATATTTTGGCCAATATTCAGAGTCTCCAAGGTTTTCGATAATGCCTAAACATAATTATTGTATAATAGAGCAGCGAGACGTTACAAACAGATATACATATGTTTTATTGTTTTATTATTATTGTTTTATATTTAACTTTTACTTATTAAAATTTAAAAGTTTCAAATTTTCTTTCGTTCGCAATTTTTATGAACTAAATATGAATTACTCTAATAATTGAGAATAATTTTCTTATTCCCAATTATGTTGTATATAAGAGATATTTACATAATAATAGTAAAAATATATAAATATTAGGTGTTGGAATTAATTCGTAGCGTTTTACAAGTGATGGGAAGTACTTTCATTAATGTATTTTTTAATGCTCATGTGAAATAAATAACATTCTTTCATTAAAAAACGCTACGAATTAATTCCAACACCTAATATATAAGAGTAAACACGGTAAAAATAATTGATGTAATAAAATAATAGTAACATTTCTAATAATTAATGTAGTAATCTCGTTAAATAAAATTCATTTGCGAAAAAAATATAAATTATAATACAAATTACAATTATTAATCATTTATATAAATCACAAAAATTATTATTATCGTAAAACATGTACCGATAATTAAAAACAATATATTAAAAACTACATTCATAATATTATTACATACTATAATCCTTGAGAAGTAAGGTGATGATTTCTTGGTCAGACGATTATTCCATAATATCAGGATGCTAAGTCCCTTGCCAGTTTTGTCCTCATTCACTTGATTGATCAGACCCTCCAATATATCTCGTACTCCGTCGTCCTGGACGTTATTATTACTAAGAAAAAACAATTCCAAAAACAAAAAAAATCTGTACTAATATCGTTACTCGCTTAAGCATAATACATGTCTCTTATAAAAATAAAACAAATTTATACATACAAATATTATTCTTATGTTCTTCAATTATACATACAATTTCTATCAATATTCGTAAATTTAAAAATATTTAGAGAAATCTAAAGATTAAATTAAAAAAAAATACTAATATACTTTACATACACATTATATTTTCGAAAAAGGTTTTCGGAAAAAAAATCGTTCTTAATTATCAAGATACATACCTAATATCAAGCAATTGCAACTGATTGTTCATTCTTAAGAGAGATCCAAGCTGTATAGCGTCGTATAAGTCAAGTCCGTTATCGGCTAAATATAGTTCTCGTATACCACTATTTATTTTTAGGGCTGTAACTGTTAAAAAAACAAAGAGTCATAATCCATGTGAAATAATTATAAAGAAAATTTCTAAATTTCATTTTAATAATTATAATAACATGTTTTAATACTGCAATATAACACTTATTTTTTCTCGTGAAAATTATGATGATGTTACTCTATTAACAAATTGCAATATAATTATATTGTAAATGCAGTATAATACATAATATTCTAATGCATAGGAAAATATTATTACAAGATAAATACCAAGCATGATAATTGCTCTCCCCGATAATCCACAGTTTTCCAATTTAAGGATTTGCAAGTGGCAAACTACTCGTAGTGCACGTGTCAGAGTGTTCATGTTTTGTTCATCAAACTTTATGTCTCCCGCTTCAAACTCCTCTAAACTCTCAGTCTAAACAAATAAGAACTACATTAATTGCACTTCTAACATTTTCATTTTAAATACATTTAATATCATAATGATACTATCATATATAACTATATAAACTATATAAAATTAACTAAAATGAAAATAAAAGTAATTTTAAAAAACAATTTTGACATTTACGATTAATATAAGACTGTCTTATAAAAATTATTTGATTGATTGTATAAGTACCTTCTTAATCATATGCGAGCACGCTTGCCAGCCGCGCACTCCGATTTCTGGATTAGATGAAATATTTAAGTGTCTTGCGGATTCATAATATTCCATCATATCAAATAATATCACGGAACTCTGTAATAGCAATTGCTCATTAATATAGACAGTATGTATATATACTAAAATATAATAATATATATCTTTTTTAGAGAAATACCTCATCAGTAAGAAATGTTCCTTCTAAAATAACTTTATTAAACTGTACTCTCTTCAGTATCTCCTCCAATGGTTCGATATGATTCTGATTCAAGACTTCTCCTCTCAAATTCAGCTCCTCGCAACGGTCTTGAGATATATCTAAATTCTATGTAACAAGAATGAAAATATGTGAAAGTGAATGCCAAAACTTTTTTCCCTGCTAAGTTTACTCTGAATCTCAAAACTTGTAAAACTTTTCTACAAAGGAATATATCTGTGCATTATTACGATTCTATTTATTCGGTAAGTCTTATTACAATATATTAGTAAAATATTAGCACATAATAAACATGTACAAAATGTACAATGATAACGAAATGCCACGATAAAGAATAAAAAAAAACTTTCAGCCAATTCAGTTTTTTTTTATCAAATAAACAACTTTCAAATGCACAGAACTTGAGATTATTACTTTATTACAACATATTGTTGCTCACACTTGAATTTAATAATGTTTTTAATATACACCACAAAAGACGGCTGTATATAATTAAATGTAACTACTTGGAATATTATGAAATAAATGATTTACCTCGAGTTGAACTAAAACATTTTGCAAGGGTTTGGTGGCATGACGAGCGCAAGACTCCTTGTATGCAAAGATTAAGTCCTCACGATTCACATTTTCAGCTGGGAACAATTATTAATAGTTTTATTTCTCATAACATACAACAATATAAATTATAACACAAATTTTTAAAATCTCGTCTCAAAAATTACATCTTTAAAAAGCGTCTCTAAAATGAATTTCTTTGTCTATATTAACAATTTCTTTGTGTATTACATTTTAAAAATAATAGGAGGGGGGAAATTTCTTTAAAAAGTTCTTAAAATGAAATTTCAAAAGATTTTTTGGGATAAAATGGAATTTCTATAAATATTGATTGTTATGCATTCTTCTGACATGATAAATGTCAGAAATCAATGTGTATTCAATTAATGTATATGTATGTCACGATATATATATATATATATATATATATATATAGTATATATAGTATATATATAATGTATAAAATAAATAGAATATGAGTGCGTTAAAAAAAAACAGTCTGTAACATCATGGTGTATAATTATCTATTTATTTATTTTACAAGAATTATTATCATACACAATAATTACAATGAAAAAAAAATATATACATATATTATTACAGGCGTATATTGTATCAGATAAATTTTAACATCGCTATATATATATATATACCTCTCTCATCAAACTTATAATTAGTACGTAGTTCACATTGTGAAATCCTTCGCTTGGGACAGTCTATAAAAAAACTTGATAGCATAGTAACAAAATGCAATCGTGTTAAAGACAAAGAAATCATGTGATTTAGAATATTATAAAAATATTTCGACGAATAAACAATCCCTTTTGTGTCTAGATAGACAAACTTTCTACATGTACAACTTCTATTAAATTAAAGAAAAAAATTTTATTACAAATTAATTAAAAAATAAATCGCATATTTCTTTAACATATTTATATGTTATATCATATGTTGACATTTTTTAAAGTAGCCGATGAAGTTTCTTGTTGGATCTTCAACAACAATTTACAACGATGGTCCGTTAACTAATTTATACAAAGTTACAGCAAGTAATTACGACTTACTAAGTTTTAAATAATGTTAGGATTTTTAATTTAAATCTCGAGAACAAGCAGAAACAATCCCGCAACATCACAACATTAGATTAATTAATTATATCGTACATCTCTTCAACAAATCGTAAACACCATAGCGAGTCTCTGCTGGCTCTAAGAGCAATTGACATCACCGACAAAATTTACATCATACTTGAACATGTAAAAACTAAGCATTTCTTAAGTCCTAAGACATCCACAAACTGAACAACTTTTGCCAGTATTAATACTGATTAATTACGTCATATTCTTCCGCTTGTGTCATAAATGTCAATAACAAATTGCTAATCAGTACGGCTTTTCAGCAAGAAACATAATATAACACAGTGATAATTTCGTCTTTGTTTAACATTGATAAATAACAAAGATATAATGATTTACTGTGTTACACTGTGTCATCTTGTATCTCTTGTTGGAAAGCATCTCAAATCTACTCGACATAAATTGTCAATGCATCAGAATCCATCAACGTCATTAAATCCTAATGGTGAATATTCGGTCACTCATATTACACTGGATTAGAACACATTAAAGGTCACTTTATATAAAATATCTAAATATAGTGGCATATCAACTTTGACAATGAAATAAAGTATACATTTTGTTAAATAATGACACAGTATCATTATTGAGTACTTAATTGTTTGAAATATTCATATGCATTAATCTAGTGCATACTAAATGCAAGTGATCGAATTCGCTATTTAGTTAGCACACAGAATACGTGCTCCAAAGTGATGTGATACTCGACCCAAAAAGTCTTGTCTCTCTGTACGACATTAAAAATTGCGCCAAGTTCTTTGAATGTTCTTAACGGAGCAAGAATAGACCAATCACATTGTTTAATTAACCAAACTGTCTCAATTTGTTAATTCCTTGTCCAGGATCTTGGAGCAATTTCCAGTATTGTGAGCACAAAGCCCAAAAAAACCAAATGTGAAAAAGTGAAGGCACACATTGTGCCCATTGCGGAAAGAAAGCACCAGGATACTCACTGTGTTTCCAGGGATTATCAGGCTCAAGGTATCCTGTCACTAGGTGACTATCGTTCAAAGGAAAGCTGACTCGTCGGGGTGGCCTTTTCTTAGTCCACGCCAGGGCGCTACGCAGCTGACGGCCGTCGATCCAGACGTAGGGTGACGGAGGGAGACCACTGGTACCAAAGCGCGGCCTCCTGCCGGTGCACGTCGTTGCCATCGGTGACGGCGGCAACGGCAACGGCGGCGGCGTCGGCGTCGGCGAGAATGGCGACAGCGATGATGGCTCCGTCGGCGACGGCGACGGCGTCGTCGCATCGCGTTCGCGCTCGTTGCCCAAGGTCGTGAGCGTATCCCCGTGGGTGTGCGTAACCGAGTCTGCTCCCTCGCTCATGCTTCCAGAGCCTCTGACATATTTCGTCCGAACACGTCGGAAACGCGGCCCCGCGATCACCCAAGCACGCGCGTACTCACGCGCGCACACGACGGAATCGCGTAATCGCACGCGTACGCACGCATGCACGCACGTACGCACACACGTGTCACACACACAGATACATATACACACACCTCGTTCGTTCGTCCGCGACAGCTACTGGCCTGGCCCGATGATCGGGCTGCACGAACGTTTATCAGGCACGTCAACGCGCCTAAAGACACATAATCGCTGTGCGAACTACGCCCGCCATCTTTGTTGCTATCAAAGTTAAGTTGCGGTTGCGCACGCCGCGAACGCTGCGCAACGGTGCGAAAAGCAAGGTTGCATTCAGCACTTTCAGGGTTGCGTTCCAAAATTCAACCTGTCAACTCCGAATATTATTGGGTCATCTAAAAAGTATCCGCGGTTTTTTGTCACTAGATGTGTGTTGATGGTCATGTATCTAGTGACAAAGTACCGCGGATACTTTTTAGATGACCCAATATTTTATCTTTGTTGGTCACCGAATGTTAATAAAGATAAAGGATACTCGGAGTTGACAGAGTTAAATTGGAACGCACCCCAGCAAAGACAATTAATTATAGGGTGCGTTTCCATTGAGCGCCTCACGCGTCACGCGTCGCGATATCACATCGTCCATCGCGTCACAACACGACGCGAGGAAAGTTTAAGAATAGCGTCATATTTATGCACACTACTGATAACTGAATGCGTCCGAAAATTAATGCAATGCATGAGCACATAACCTAAGGGTGATATTTCATTCGTGTGTTTGTGTTGCACAAATTTTTCAAGCCTGTTGATTGGCTTTGGGATAGAGAGATCCGAAAATCTGTTCTATACACGTTTGTCGTACGACAAAAACGCACAAATGAAATAGCACCTAATATTTAATACAATATCAAAGCTCAGTGAGCTCTTGTATCTGTTTGGTCTATATTTTTAGGGGTATGGTCAACGATGTTGCAAACGCTTTAATTGGTCAGTTTGTAAAATTTTTTCTTCTAATTAATCCATCAAATGCTTTAAAGCGAGACTTTGATCACAGCTTAAATCTAACGGAATATGTCAATCATAAAGTCTCTAGATTAGCAAAGTACTGCGAACTACCGCCATTTTTGCTCCAAGCGCACAGTTATTCAAAACTTCAATCTCTTTCATTGCGATTTTTACAATTTTCAACACAACTGGGCATTTTCGATAATAACAAAATCAGATTCTTCTTTTTTTTCCAAACCTGTATGGATTTCTGATCTTTTAATAGAAATCAGATTAGGGAATCGATTCTGTACCTTCAAACAAGGTGAAAATTACAAAAGTGAGCAAATTTATTAGATGTCGACCAATGAAATTATTATAATAAATATTTATTAATATAAATAATATAAATAAATAAATTATTAATATTCTAGTAAATTCGCTCACTTTTGTAATTTTCACTTTATTTCAAAATACAGAATCGATCCCTAGGTTAGCACTTCGATGCCATTTTAGTTCCAAATGCTAATTCAGTGAATTTTCTCATTGTGATACTTTGATAATGTAGTGACTTTACAATTTAATTGCATATACTACTCACATCGCTCTGTTCCTAGTAATTTTTTACTGTTGCATCATTAGTCTCCGGAAAACGACTGTGGAATAGAAAGTGCGTCATTGAAACAACCAATTAGCGCTATTCGGAATAACGTAGAATAACGCTGATTGGTTGCTTCTATATCTGGACACATTCTCTATTCCACAGTCGTTTTCCGCACCGTGTGATTTCATCCTCATTTTGCCGTGCGAACGTTTCCGCGTCCAATATGCAAGAGCCATTACAGTCGAACGATAGGGGAATGCTTGACTGTAATTGGTTGATTCTTATATTTTGACTCGGTTCAAATTTTTGGTGGAAACTAGGTCAATGAGATTATGGGCTAGTTTCACCGGTTCAACGCCGGTTTCATCAAGCTTAATCGTAATTAACTGTCAACTGCAATTGGTCAATTCTACTAAATAGCAAACGCAGTTGGTCAGTCAACGGTCGATTAAACTAACTGACGTAACTGGTGAAACTGGCCCTAAGCAACTAATTTGTTTCACTCTAATTTATTGCACTGATACAGAATTAGTTCAAAATTTTTGGAAAAAACAGATCTCTATTTTGCCGACGTGAACTAGCCCATTGCATGCACTCACAGTAAACAAAAGTGTAGATAATTTTATTTGTCATAATATTTTGAGGATCAAATTATAAAATACAACTTTTTAGCAAATTTTGCAATTTCGTAAAACATAATCAAAAAAAATTTCGTGATAAAATATTGCTTCCGCAACACAAAATATGAGTATGTTTATTTATCTGCACCGAGAATGAGGTGTAGATGCATTATTTAAGCAGAGAGAAATCTGATGATATATGTTGTCAACGGTATGATACTAGCGGTTAACATGTGTTTACATACACTTTAATTTTTTTCTTGCACGAACTGAATTATTGTTTATTCTGTACTGATCTATTCAATAAGATATCGTGCAAAGATATACATTATCACAGTGTATGTATACATACTGATACATACATCTAATACCTAAGATCAGTGTAAAATTGGTTATACAATCAAGATAAAGAAATAGCATCAAGACGGTATAACTCTTATAATTTTTTATCCTATTCTGTGAAATTCAGTCAAATCAAAAAAGATAAATAATAACTATCAGAAAAAAATAGATTGTAAAAAGTCAGCAAAAATGTCAGGGCCAATGGTATTGTGTCAACTATGGATGGGTGGAGTGAGTAAATTGTTTAAATAATTTGAAAAATAAATTATTTCTCCGTCCACAGATATTCCACACAACATAAGTGTTATTATTAAAAATCATCTGATTGTAGTTGGAGCCATATATGACAGAGAGCTTTATTATGAATGCATTTCACAAAATGGGTGAACAACCACAAACAGTAAAAGTTATGCGAAATCGATACACTGGCGAGCCTGCAGGATATTGTTTTGTACATTTTCCAACTGATGAAATGGCGCTCGATGCCATGCATAAGTTGAATGGTAAAGTGATACCTGGTTCAAATCCTGTAAGTTTAGTATGAAATGTATTAAACTATACAAATACAATATCTTATACTATACTTAAGCAATAGTTATTATTTTTAACGTTGCTTAAAGCAACAATCAATAAGACTAAGTCGAATTGATTTTTTGAAAGAAAGCCATTTTACATACATCTTTTTTTCTGATTTCATTATAGTTATAATTTTTGATAAAAAAAGAATCTATAAATCTATTACTCAAGAGTTTCATTATAAATATAGAATTATAAGTACAATAGCTCGTGTTATATTTGAGTAATAATTATTATTTTTAATAATAACAATAGTATCTAAAAAAAAAAACAAATTTATGTAAACCAAGTCCCCTTCTTGGCTATATAATGCTGAAGTGTAATAAAATTCTATTTTATTCTATTCTAGTATCTAACAATAAGTTGAATTGGCTTCTTGAAAGGAAGTCATCCTATATAATTTTTATAGAAAAAAAATCTATAAATTTTTTATTCAAGTTCCACTATAAATACAGAACTTTTAAGTATACTTATTATTAAGTATACTTATAAGTATTGGGTCATCTAAAAAGTATCCGCGGTTTTTTGTCACTAGATGTGTTGATGGTCATATATCTAGTGACAAAGTACCGCGGATACTTTTTAGATGACCCAATATAATATATATTTTGCACTATATTTAAGCAGTAATTGTTTTTTTAATAATAACAACAATCGATAATATTTAAGTTGAGTTAACTTCCAGGAAAAAAATCATACTATACTTAACTTTTTTCTTATTTCGTTATAATAGAAAAAATTCATAGAAAAAAAATTATAAATCCTTTGCCTTAATTTTACTATACAGAATTAAGCTTCTAAAATTGATTTAAAAATTTTATTTTCCAAGTCGTAATGCCACAATGTATCTACCTTCATTTTTTAAATTAAATATTTTAAGCACTTTTTCTGTCAATAAAATATTTTGTCAGTTAAAATTCTTGGTATATATACCAAGAATTTTAATTGAAAAAATATATACACACACACTAAAAGGATGACAAGGATTCTAGGTACTAAATTTTGCTTTAGCAATAAATTAATGAACATTGTATTTTCCTTGATGTGTTTTATAGCCTGTACGATTCCGATTAAATCATGCTAGCACTACTGGGAAACCTGCTGCCGAGCGAGAATTCAGTATTTGGGTAGGCGATCTGTCCACCGACGTAGACGATTATTCTTTATATAGGGCATTTGCTGCGAAATATAATTCAATCAGAACGGCTAAAGTTATATTGGATAGTTCTGGATTCAGCAAAGGATATGGGTTTGTCAGATTTGCCAATGAAGAAGAACAGAAAAACAGTCTAATTACTATGAATGGCTACAGAGGACTTGGAACAAAATCTTTGAAAATCTGCAATGCAGTGCCTAGACCTTGGAACAAAATATCGGGGTATGTTATTGTTTGTATTAACTGTATTAGAAAGTATAAATAATATGTTTGTAAAAAGGATAAATTCTTTTGCCTGGCCATGATTCTGAACAAAATATTCGTGTTTGATATTATACTGTAGAGAAAGAATTATCTATAATATTTAATTAATAATTTTACAGTTCATTTTAAATTAATGATTTTAGTTCAACACCACCGCAATCAACTTCTGAATATCCAGCATCAAACATGAATTCAGAGGCATATAATTATTATGATACATCATCATATTGGAATAGCTACAGCGCTTGGCAACAAGGTTATTATGAAAGCGAACCGACGTCAGATACTTACAATAGCTATGTATCTGATCAAAAACCTGAGGAAGACGAATTAGAATTAATCGGTATGTTATTATCTTCTTATGATGATATAAGAAAACAAATATGTTCTTCAACAAATCTTTAACTATGCTAATCTAATATTTTATATTTTCTTTTTTTTATAGAGCATTCAATCCCCATTGACATCGATAAGGTGAACAGAGAAATAATTGAACAAGATTATAATTTATGGGATGCTTTGGAAAGCTCAAAATGGATTCCTTGTGATACTATAGAATTATGCTATTAATGATTAAATTAAAAAATAAGAGACAACTTCAAAAAATATATTATCATTATTATCATTATCACTATTATTACACAAAAATAATAATTTATTTCATGCAAAAATGCTAAAAATAAATGTTGCGCAATCTTTATAAAAGGATATATTTTATCAATTATGATACTGAAGATAATAAAATCATTACTTTCCATATATAATATGAGCAATTTTTATTGCAAAAATAAATAATGCATTTCAGTTGCTCAATGTTTTACATGTGGTTTATATATTCTGCAGCTTTAATATCATTTAAGTCATTTAATATTTGCTGATATAATTTTACAAAAAATACCTATGGCAGTATATTTAATGCTGATAATTATCATAACACTATGCTTTAACTATTACATACTCGTGGTTAATGTGTTTACATACATTTGATACTCGTATTTTTTTTGCAAGAGAATCGAATTTTTATTTTCTTATTGATTTTTATTCAATAGTAGTGATTGTATGTAAAGCAGTGTATTACGATGTGTGTGTGTGTGTGCGTGCGCGCGCGCGTGTGTGTGTGTGCGTATATATTACACACAGCCCTGGAATTTTATAATAATTCATTTTAGAAATAAAATGAATTATGTATTCAAAAGAGCAATATATTTTTTGTGTACTATCATTATTTCTCGCTCTATAAAATTATTCAATACACAAATTGAATGGCAAAATAAATAGGCATATAAAAAATTCCACTATCTGATAAAAAAATTAAAAAAATAGATTACACGACCCTCGTTTTGCACATATGTTAATCAAGCCTTATCATATTCAACACAATCTCCGTCGCAAAATAACTATATCTACAGATAGAAAATGTTTTATACATAATTTGCAATTAGTATAAAAAATTTGTTTACACATTTATATATATGTGTGTATATACATACATATATATATATATATATATATATATATGTATATATATACATATATATAAGTGAAAAAAATAAAAATTTATCTTATACATAGTTTACATAAATTTACACCAAAATTTAATATCCTATCAAGGAATATTCCAATTTTTGTAACTTTATATGAAGTTAGATTATAATTAAATGCAAAAGATCATTTTTCAGAATCGTCCACAATATCAATCGGTTCGGTATTTTTCGATTGATTGATCAACGATGGCTCCGATAGCTGATTCCCAGACGCCGTGCTAGATGTAACTTTTGTGTTAGAGTCATTGGAGGCAACCATATAAACTTGTAAAATAGTATTTCCAGGATTCTCTGCAGATTCTTTCGAGACAATTACTAAGGCTCCTGGTTCTATTTGATTACTATTTGGTATCATCGACATAATATTATCGGAACAAGATGTTTCCGTGTTTTCGCTATTCGTAACTTGTGTATTTACATACTCTGTAATTTCCACAGCTACATGTGACGGTATTTTGTTGTCTATTGGTAATTCTTTCTCTATATTATTACTGTTACGTGTAGTTAAGTCAGGCGCTTGTAATTTCCTTATTTTTTTCGATAATCTGCCAGATCTAGTCGGTCTGAGTTGATAAACTTCCTCAGAGCTGTCCGAATCAGCATCTGTACAAGAGCTATAATCATCGAATTTGTTGTCCGAACGCTTTTTCGATCTCCGCGCTTTTTTTTTTGCTATTTGTTGCGGAACGTTGTTTATATCGCTACAAATTTCTATATCAATTTCATCGTTTGTCGTCGACACTATAGTATCTTCAGCTTCTAAATCGTTGGGTAGTGATCCACATTCTCCAATACTTTCCGCTACTAATCCTGCAATTGTTTTGGATTAATTTTCCATAAATATATGTAATCATATAAAATATAATTCTTTAATATGTTCCATTTATTAAGAAATTTTCTATTGTACTATTATTAATCACATTATTTAATTTATAAAATTAAAATTATATCATACTTACGACGCTTGCGTTTTCTTTGATTTCTGCTCAAGGATTGTCCACTCTTAGATTTCTCCGGTGCTTTTTTGTTTGAGTTTTGTATATTTTCCAGATTTTGTAGCATTTCTAAGAGCAAAACATATTTTGTAATTTATTTGTTTACAACGTATAATGTGATAATTATAATGTGTATATTAAAACCTGAAGAAGGAAAACACATACGAAAGATGTTTCAAGAGTATAGAAAAATGTTTATTATTTACATAATTACAATTTGAAATTTAACTACAATTATAATAAAATCATAAACATGGTATAAAATAATTTTTAGTCAAAACATTGACTGCGTTCAACAAAGAAAACCGATCAGTGAGAATCTAATATGTAATTGATTTTTATCTTTAGTTCTTCGCTGGATCTAAGTATAGAAACTAATTATATTTAAAAAATCACTGAGCACTCAATTTTCTGTGCTGAACACAGCCAATTAAAATCGAAACAAAAAATGCTTGCGATTTTACTATGACTTAGCAATTAACTTTAAATTAACTTTAAATTATTATAATATCAGTATTGAGAATAGAATGTATATATATATTTTTTTCTTTTTCTACTTGAGAATATTCTCTCTAATAATTTGTTAATAATAAAGTTTTTTTATACCTATCCTCAAACATTGTTTTATATATTTCACAACTAGTATGTATAAAAGTAGAAAAACCTATAAAGGAACATACCCAGTTGCTCTTGTAGCATATCAGTATCAAATTCTCGATGATATTTGAGAGCTTTTTCAACTAATTGTTGGTTAACTCTTTCCTCCTTCTTATATTTCTGTTTAATTTCTTGTCTACTTCTATTTGGAAAGAGTGTCTGCATCAATAAAAAAGCTGTACCTACTACATTTAAAACTCTATAAAATTTAAATGTTTCCCATTTCGGCCACTCCTTGCTCCTTTTATGCCTTTTATAGAAACCGCCACTATGGAAATTATCATCTTCTATAGTAACATTATTCGTCATCATTTCTTCATCTCTTCTTGCATCCGTCTGCTCTATCACAAGACTTTGTTCGTCTATTATCAACTGACCATCGGGACCCACTTTCACTTGCGGCGTGGGCATTGCCGATGGATCATCTTCGTCTTCCTCTTCCGGTATTTCCACTGGTCTATAAAAAAATAAAATCAATAAAATTCTTGCACAGATGTTTTATATTTCACTGTTATAATTTAGTATACTTACTGTAGTGTAGTTATTGATTCAATTCTACGTTCAGCTGATAATTTTTTCATAGGATTTGTCACTGGATTATAATATATCAAGTCGTACATTTTCAACTGACTTCTATCAGGTGCTCTATTTTCGTGTTTTAGTAAAAATTCCCTTCTAGCTTCGGCTAACTTTCTCGCAGATTCCGAAACTAGCGTACGTCTTTTCTGCGTTATTTTAATTTTCTGAGGACTGTTTTGATTGTCATTAATATTAATTTCCTTATTGCTTTGTACAGAACAGACAGAATCATTTCGTACACGGTTCGGCACGACGGATGCGACTCTCTTACTGTGTTCATCCTCGGATTCACTTGCGCTCGCACCGCTTCCTTGTATACTGTTCTTTCTTATTCTACCACTACTGTCCAATCTTGGTGTAGGTCTCATAAAACATGGACGATTCTGTATTACTTTTGTAGGAGAGGCTGAAAAATATGTATATTAAAAAACATATAATTACAAAGAAATTATATTGTTTATAGAATCTTAAAGATGATATTATTATAGATATATTGATAGTAATCAAAATATAAAATATTGTCATGTGTCTTCCAATTTAATTTCTTTTTATCTTACCAATATCTGTTACTGTAGACACATCTGATGGCGAAATATTTTTTTTAATTGATTGATCAGTAATTTTGTCAGGTTTGAATTCAATTGATGGAGATTCTTGAGAGTTTGGCTTTGCCTGAACATGTAACTCTTGAGAGTTTGATTTTGTCTGAGCATGTAATTCTTGAGAGTTTGACTTTGTTTGAGCATGTAACTTTTGAAAGTCTAGTTTTAATGGAGATGAAGATTTTTGAGAGTTTGCCTGAGCATGTAACTCTTGAGAGTCTGATTTTAGTGGAGATGGAGATTTTTGAGAATTTGGCTTTGCCTGAGCATGTAACTCTCGAGAATATGATTTAATTGGAGAACATAATTCTTGGGAATCTAGTTTAACTATAACTGATTCTCTTAAATTGACTTTGTCTTGTTTCTTCTTAGTTTCTTCTTCAACCTTTGCAATATCTTTGGCAGCTTCTCGTTCTGGTATGTCAATACAAGGTACATCTTTCTCTTTCAGTTTTTCTTGTTCTGATATATCAATACTGGATATATCTTTTTCTTTTTGTTCTTTTTGTTTGAATGTATCAGTCTTAATCACATCTTTCTCTTTCTGTTCTTTTACCTGTACAACATCTTTGGTAATTTCTTGCTCTGTCTCATTGATATTAGATACGTTTTTTTCATTCTTTTCTTCATCAACATCATTGTTAGTTTCAGTAGAATCTGCTGAATTCTGCGTAGGCTTTTTTCGAACTGGTACAGCAGCCAAAGCTTTAATACGCAATCGACGCAGCATTATTGGATATATATTTCAAAAGAATCTGTAAAAAAATAAATACCAATGAATCATAAAGCAATAATCTAGCTTATCAATAAAATTATAAAATCATACATTTGGCCTTGTGACCTATTTTTTTTTAGCTAAACTTCTTGCACAATTCTTTTCTCTTTTTCTTTTTACATTGGAAAGAAAAAAAAGATTAACTCCTACAAAAAATTAAATTAAAAAGAAATCTGACCTATTAATTAAAAATTGCTGCAATCTGCTTTTCAACTAGATATTCTGTCAATGCAGAAGGAAAGAACCAAGAAAGGACATAACAAATCAGCAGATATTAATAGATGTAATAACGCCTCTCTATTTCACGTTTCTTTCGCGTATCATTGCGAGAAGCAGTTTGAATATCACAAACATGCGAAATGTCTTTTCTAAGTTCACATCGGATGGTAGAATAATAGCATCAACCTTTTGACGTTATACAGTGTTAGATAGTTACCCTATTTCTTCTGTCTTAAATCATTTATTTTCTTCACAAAATTAAATTTATCCTGATTTTTTTCTTCCTTCTCTCTTGATCAAGTTATAAATATGCTCTACGCGAGATGTCACATGTATTTGGAGGTTATCTCGTTGTATCACTCACCGACGACCGAATTATTCTGATGAGCGAGCGAAAGGCGGTTTTCGTAGTTCGTCGAAAGTTAAAGAGACATCATCGTATCTCCGATGATCCTTCACTATCTACAATATATACGGCTACGTGGTATCACCTTGTTATTGCGGAACACGTGGAATCACATGTGACCAATATGAATTCGACGTTGTCGAATAACGAATACATTAGATTCAAAGAGAGGAAGTCATTCGCGAGCATTGATCATTATTTTAATAACACCGTGCATTACGCTCATCCTCAGTCTTATCTTCTCAACTCGTAAATATGTGCGTATTAATGGCTGCATTCAGCAGAACGCAACAGTTTTGCAATCGTTTTATGATTGTCTGCCGAGATAGGACCGTTCCTCTTGATCTAAAAGCATAACCCAATCAGCGCGAAGAAACTTCCAACAGTTGCAAAATAAACGTTCTGTTGAACGCAGCCAATATGTGATAACATCAATCACATCTATTCTCTTTCTTAGGGGACGCGTCAGAGCGTCAAGTGTTTCTTAAGTTACACCTCTCTCTTCTCTTGAGTTTTTTTTTTATAAAGAAACGTAATACAGAAAGGCTAATTCTACAATGTGTTCTTTGTCTCCTGTTTCTTGCTGTTTGTCTCTTACCTTTTTGGTCAATAAGACAAGAAACCAAGGATTTTATACGATTGGTTTATACATTTAGATCCAATGAGGAACTAAGGGCAAGACCAATCATATTCAAGAATTTTACAACAGTTGCAAAGCTGCTTTCTCTGCTGAACGCAATCATTTTTTTCCTGTTCAATACATATTTATTTTATTTTAGATATAAAGCATAATAATAAGTCTGTCGTTTATTTCTATACTCATTGATAAATATACATTTATTTTACTTCACTTATTACATCATGTACACCAGTTCAGAGAGTGCAGGAATAAAGAAATAAAGATGATATAAATATATATAAAGAATTATAAAAAAAATGGACTTGACAGTTGTTTACCGGGTGTCATATAAAATAATTTAAAAATTTTGGGATAGTTGATGAGCTTGTGCAATGTTTATACGTATATATTTAACATAATTATTTATCTTACACTGTATAAGTATAAATAAAATTTGAAAAAAGAAAAAATATTGTACGTACAAAACATGGAAATTCTATTTGAAATTTTCTTGTTTTGTATTTCTTAATTATTCTTCAAATATTAAATACACATATTTTTATGAATAATACAAATACTTACACAAATATTCATAAAATGCTACAATGATATATTTTTGCATCTTAAACTCCTAAACTTCATGTAAGTGTCAGATAAAAATTTACAATTTCATCAAAAATATTTTATTTCGTTATTTACCTTTATTACTTTATTTATAATAATAATAAAAATCTAAATTTAATGACTGTCCATAAATTGTATATCCGACAATAACAGTACTGTATTTGGTAATGGTCTAGGTTGCGGGCTAAGTACTGTAAATGTTTGCCTCTCAACGTCCACATTAGTCCTGTAAATGAGAAATATATTTATATATCTTCATAAGAAAAATAATATCAATTAATCCTCTGTCTACAATGGATCTTTTTCGACATAACGGAAATTTCACTTTTGAATTTCTATAAAATAAAAGAGAAAATGGTTTCCCCTTCTAAAATAATTGAGAAAATTATTTGATAATGTAATAGAGATGAAAAGTAATCCTGAATTTTTTCATATTTTGTAAAAAATCTAAAACAGAATAAATAAACTTGGACTAAACAAAGAAAGATACAAATTGTAAGAATTAATGAAGAATTAATAATCCCCAAATAAATATCAGATCATTGAATATCAGATTCATATACTAACACACAAACGAATCCAGCTACATTAGTCTGTACGACGTCATCCTCAGGAGAATCGGCAAAAGAAACAGACAGCAAATGATGCAGCAAACTGGGTCCCGGTGTAACAGCCACCAGTTTTGTCAGATTGTCCTCCGCCTTCATGCCCAATGGCATGCAAGATGCTGGTAGAACAGGCGCTCCAATTTTGTACAATCTTGCTTCGTTCCACTTTACCTCGAAACTATGTGGATATAGTGGTGTCCGCGAACCATAGAAATATTCTCTAACGCCCTGATCTCTTGCTTCACTTCTTTGCGCCTGGCTTCTCTCGACAACTCCGCCACTCTTCGGCAGAAAGACTACCTTCACAAAGTCTGGCATATCTCTCACTAATTCGTTGTAGAGTCTCTCTTGATCCAATACAAGAATCGCATCCACTTCAAATGCTTGTGCAGCATGAGTGAGCAATTTATAACCTTCTCCTTTGATCCAGCCGCATGTATTTATAACAATCCCTGATGCTTTGGCTTTTTTGTTGGCTTGTAATCTATCTGAGCAGACTTCTGCTAGACGTGTTACAAGTAAGTTGTATAGTGTTACATTGGTTTGTGGCGATTTATGCCCGAAATGGAACACCAGTGGAGCTTGCTGGCTGAAACCTTCCACTATATTGGATGGTCGTTCTACCAACAAAGCACCCACAGTCCCAGGAATCGCTATATGTCCTTGACCAACATCAAGATCAACAAAAATTGGTCTTCTGCCCATTCTAACAGCATAGTTCAATAATATCCTACAAAGTGTAGACTTTCCTACATCGCAAGGTCCTACTATCATTGTTATTGGTCCTCTAGTATCATCCTTCTCTGCCATCTCTCTCATTCGCTCCATTGCTGCATGGCAATTCAAATACAGACCCATAGGAGTCTCCTTTGCTACATAGCTGACATCCGTTTTCCCGACTAATTCAATAGTACAACCCTGCCAAGTAAAAACTGCAACTTTTGCACCAGCAGTAAACTCATACTTTTTTCCTTTCACCAATTCTGTTCCAAAAACTTCTGCCAAGCCATTCTTTAACTGCAATAACAAAATTTTATGTTACACGATAAAATAAAAAAAATTAATAACAAATGAAATAAATTGTCTATAAAAAAATTATGTCCTATTACCTCCAATGTAACTTTTTCATTTTTGCTCTCCAGTTCAAACCTCAATTCGCAATCTGGATCCAATTTAAATTCTTGCACTGTAGACTTTTCGTCGGCCATTTCTCAATTATTTTGGATAAATTATACACATAAAATTAATTACACAAAATCTGTTCTTGACGTTGAATTAACCTTGTGCTAATTTTTTCGCATTTCACAATATTTATCAATTCTTGCAAAACACGAAATTTTGTAAATATTTATGAACGAAACGGTAACTAGAGCGATAATAAGATTGTTATAACATCCAATATAATGAACATCTCATACATTTCATCCAATCTCGTCAGAATAAAGTACAAACATTTCTTAACTGTTCTAAGGCCGGAATCTGACTACGTATTGAAGAATAAGAGTTGAAGAATAAGATTGAAAGATTGAAATTTGACCAATCAGAATGGAGCTAAAACTTCTTTGTCCTCATTGGTGAAATTTCAATCTTTAATCTTTAATCTCAATCTTCAATGCATAGTCTAATTCCGATTTAAACTAACTTTAAGTTCGTTCGTATTGCTCAATCATACTTGTTATCCTAAGCTATGTTCCAAAACTTCCTCTGAGGAAAATTTTACTCGAAATAATTGTATATTACCCATATTCATAGTCAGACCTTATATTTAAGGCTTCTTTAAATTTATCTTTAGATACTCTATGAATTATTTCATTGGTTACTGATCATCTAAAGATAAATTTAAGGAAGCCTTAAGTACAAGGTCTGTGAATGCGAGCAATAGTCATGTAACGTACTATAGCACACACACCCACACACACACACACACACACACACACCCCGCGCGCGCGCGCACGTACATTGTACTATACATATAGAATAAAATCTTCCTCGGAGAGGAATATTGGAGCATTAGATATATATAGGTTTTTATAAATTTAATTTAATTCATGTTTTTATACGTATAAATTCGTTTTGAATGAATAATGTTATAAAATGCATTTAAAACGAACAGACTTGTTGACACGCTGCCGATTGGTATATCTGCCCCATATATTGTACAGTATAAATGCAGAAGATTAGGTTGGCAATCCTGCAATTTCGCCATTTTATGATATTTTGCGTTGTTTTATGCGGTGACGACTTTGTGATGTGGTCTGAAAGTTCGCAATTTTTGTAGTGGGTTGGAAATCAAAATAGGAAATCAGAGAAGAAGAAAAAGTTGACAATTTTAGCTTCAAGAGCAATTATGCAATGCAGATTTATGCGATATCACGTTACCATTCATCACGTAGCATGTTCAGTGTGGTAACTGATACAGCAGGCATTCGTTAAGTTTTTACGATTAGTTACTCATTAATTTGCAGTTTCAACAGTCGCATAACGTTTCCCGTTTCATAACCAAAGTAAGTTTATAAACATATATTACATCACAAAATCTTCTGCAGTGAATACTAATAACTTATAATTTAATACTATAACTTATAATTTTTTCATGATATTTTTGATAATTTTGATATTTCATGATATTTCATGATATTTCTTTTTGATATTTTTTTTTATTAATAATATAAAATAAATCTATATATATTAAATATATTTCTAGATGCGTAAAAATCAAAGCACAAAGGCTCCAGCTGCAGTCTCCCAGCGTATTACTCGTCTGAAATCTCGTGAAATGTCTACCAAGCCTGCACCTGAAAGGAAGCTCAAATCCGAAAAAAAAGTCGTCATTGTCAATAAAAATTTAAAAAAAGTCAATGTTAGTGCAAAAAACAAAACTTTGCACCTATCAAAGGAAAGTGTATCTCTAAGAAACAATCGAACACCAGTGAGACGTTTACGTCCTCGTCAAACTAGAAGAAATTATTGTGAAGACTCAAGATTACTGCAGCAATTCATTTCACCAAAGCAGCAGGACAGTATGGTGATAATAGAAAAGTTGAAAGAAAATGTAGAAAGTAAAAAAGTACCTGTATATAAAGCTGCAGAACCTGAGAAATCCTCAGAAGACAAGAAGGATGTATATGATTTTAAATTTGACTCAAATGACACTAAAGAAAAAGCTCCTAAAAAGAAATTAAGGAAAAGAAATGTTAACAAAGAGAAAGGCAAACCGATCAAGAGAACAACACGTAAAAAAGTTATTGCAAAAACACGTAGTCATAAGATAATTGAATCTCCTAAGATTGATGCAGATCCTTCTGTGAAGATTATTCAGAATGATTCTCCTTTAGAATTTGTAGCTACAACATCAACAAAGGAAAATAATATGAAAAAAATTGAAATAAATAAAGATATTCAGACACTGAAAGAATTAGTAAACAAGAATATTGAGAAAGAGGTTGAATCACCAAGAATAGATGCAGATAATCAGATGATACAAGTACTGAATAATACTGGAGGCCACATAGAAGCACCAAGAGTAGACATAAATATTCATGAAGCAACAACTTTTTCTGGCACATTTATAGAGCAAGTTAGAAAGGAAAATACAAGCAAGCCAAGAATTATATCTATTGAAAATGCAAATAATATTATAGTCACTACATCCCCACCTAAGAAAACTGACGTGCAGCCCTTTCGGCCCAAGAATATATTTGATAATAAAACCTTATCAAAAGAACATGACAGCACATTAAGATCTACCGTATTGATGAAAACTTTGTCCCCCATCGTAAAGACGACGAGTACTTTTGATTTTGGAAGTCCCTGGCGACCTCCAATATTAACGTTCTCTAAAACTAAACACTTTATTCAAAGTACACCATATAAGGACTTTGAAACAAAGAAAGGAAATAAAGAAATAAAGAAAAAGAGCATTGAAATAAGTAAGGAGATCATGGAACCAAATAAGGAGAACATGGAACCAAGTAAGGAGAATATGGAACTAAATAAGGAGAATATGGAATCAAATAAGGAGAACATGGAAATAGATAAAGAAAATATAGATATGAATAAAAAAAATATAAACCGAAGAGACAAAGAAAGAAGAAAGAAATCTATCAGTCCTCGCAAAAAGCACGTAATTCTGAAGAAACTTCCAAGTCTAGAAAATCAGACTCCACAGAAACTTCGAGCGGCAGTTGCACAGAAATCTGTTGTACAACCAGCACCTGCCAGAATATCCCTGGGAGAAATAAAGAATGTGTTATTAAGACCTAATAATAATGTTAATGGAGATAACAAACAAACAATAGAGCCAATGCATACTGAAGTTAATAAGTTGATCATAGAGCAAAAGAAACAATTTGTAGATGTTCTCAATTTTTCCGACACATTTGATATGTTGCCTGAAGATGAAAAAATATCAAATGTTGAAAATGAAATTCCCTTGTTTATGGATTTAGAACCTTCACATTTTTCAAAGGTATTTATTAATATTCTCTTTTCGAAAATAAGTAGCCAAAATGTGGCTTACTAATAATAAATAAAAATTAAAACAATCACACGTAAGTTGTTCATCACAAAAGTTATATATTTAAGATATTACTCGTTAACAATATAAAAACAAACGTTTCGGCCATGATTTGGCCATCTTCAAATGTTTATGTTTTTATATTGTCAACAAGTAATATCTTAAATATATGATTTTTGCGATGAACATCCCTTGTTTTGCTCTTTATTGTTTGTTTTTGTGTGTGTGTGTGTGTGTGTGTGTGTGTATATATAAATAATATTTTGAATCATTAACTATGTTCCTCTAAAATTTTATAGCCACCTCAACATTCATACAGGAGAAAACGTGCCGTAAAGTTCGATTTTTCAGAAGATAACAATGAAGAAAATGAAAATATCAAATTACATCCAAAGAAGAAAAAACCTACAAAATCGGAAAAAGAGCACGAGAAAAAAATTAACGAATGGATAAAAACAGTTAACAATACATTCCAGGAAATCGAAGAATATGACTTGTTTATTGAATAACATAGAAAATGATTGTTACTTATACTTCAAAATTCTAAAAGACCTGAAAAAGTTCAAAGCTGCACAAATTAATGAGTTTAAACTTTTCTTATTTTTTAATTTATGTTTGAAACTTTATGGTAACGATATTTAAATGCACGTTTCTCCTTTATATTCTTTTATTTCGATATTTTCTTTACATATAAAATTATATCCATAATAGATAAGATAGTGATTAAAACGTTAGAATTACATTAACACAGAAAGTAAGTATTATTTTATACTTTTCAAATCCTATTAAAATTTTATAAAAATTTATCTTCTAAATATTTTAATATTTTCTTATATGTATTTTTTTATGTTTACATGAAATGTAAGGTAAATTTTATGAATATTAATAGAAATTAAGATTGCGTGTATTTATGACATCATAATTATATATGAAATAAGGAGATAGGAAATGTATATATTCGAGGATATTTAAGATGATAAAGATCAGCATGTAATACATTGTATATAATAAAATATTTTTAAAATTTATTTGTCTTGTATTATTAATTTCTAAACTTGAATGATTATATATATCAGGGATTGTCATCAATTGTTATCAGATATTCACATTGAATAATTTTTTACTTTTTATTAGTTATTGTTTATAAAACTATTTAAATATAAAATAATATTTTTATTTTTAAATAAAATTTTGATAGACGCAAAATGAAAATATTAAAGTAATTTAGGAGTAATAATGATGACTTTAGCCAAATTCTGATTAACTTAATGGATTTCAATTATAAATATTGTAGATTATATATATATATATACTTATTAAGTAATATCTATGTGTATATTAGGCATGATTCCAATATAAAATTAACTTTAGAATTAGAAAAAGATAAATAGTAAGGTAAATGAAGATTAAAGTTAATCTACATTGGTAGAACCGGGTACATTTCTACCAATATAGATTTACTTTAATCTCGGTTTAATTTAATTTTCATCCTTTTCTAATTCTTAGAACCAAAAAAAAATAAAAAATAAAGATCAATCTATATTAATAGAAATGGGGAAAATTTACATAAAAATACGATCTAGCTGCTATCATATTTATCCTTATTTGATTTATTAATATAATTCTTAATTATGGATAGAGTTATTTAGTTTTTCTTATTTAAGATATAGGAAAAAAATTCAATTAGGAAACGCACGGAAATATATAGTTATAAATTTTGCTTTAAACAATTCTGTCGATTGAATTAATCGGTGATAAAGTTAATTTGAATTTAATTAAAGTAGCTCTAAGATTCCGCAATTGTTATTTTTTTTGCATTTAAATTTTTCAATGAGTAAAAAACTATTGACTAAAATAAATTACATTTTATTCCAAAATTTAGCAACAATGTGATGCAGCTAACCAGGTTTTCCATTTGCTATCTCTTTTGCCTAAAACTTTACATATTACTTTTTAGTTTACATTTTAAATTATAACTTTTTGTCTCATGATTTTAAATAATTTTACGTTTCTCTAATTCTAGGCCACATTCCAAAACATCTCCAAGGAAGATTTTACTTTATATACCATAGTATATGTTACGTGTATTATGTATATATTTCGAATAAAATTTTCCTCGGAGAGAACGTTTTAGTAAATGTATACCCAAGGACTTCGATTCTTTCTCTCGGAAATTTTCACAAACTGAGAAATGATCTCCTCTTTACATTAATGCTCATAGTCTGTGTGCGATTAATGACATAATTAAATCTTATATCTGCTTACAACTAAATTTGACATAAAGACAAAATAATTTGAATTTCTGGAAATTCTAAAAAAGTAACGAAGGGATATTAATTTGTAATCGCCCCTAATTTGTAATCGCCACGATTTTTAAGAGCTGGTTTTCATGCCACGAATATACGACCAATCAGCAAAAAACTACGCATTAAACGTGCTACGCAATGTAAACAGCATCGTGCTTTTGGATGCATCCATTGTATTGTATATTGTTAGTTTTATCACGTTGCGATCCTAACCTATGTGTTGCACGAAAAGCAACATTTTAAATTTAAATAGACAGATTAATAACGTTAATATATTATACAACATGAGATACTGACTTTAACAATATAATTATTCGCTAAAATATATGAATGAATGAATAAATGAAAAATGAAACAACTTAAAGCGATTATCGAAGATGTAATTGTGCAATCAAACAAAATTCAGCCAATTATTGGTAAGATAAACGGTTTTTCACGTTATTGTATACTAATATATTATACTATAATATTATTCATATTTAAACGTACAATACCTTATTTATATGTTTAAAAAATTATATATTAATATATTTTATACATGTCTTTTGCAATAAGTATATTCATTTATTACTATCTCAATTATTTATTTTATGTAATTGTTTTATCCCACAATTATTATTTTTATTAATTTAAGCATAATCTTAATTCATATTTTGTTATACAGTAAACTTCCAAAATGGTGAGCTTAAGGATGAAGAAGTCAAGGAGATATCATGTGGCTTGTATCGCGAGCAAAAAGACAACAAAACTGTATTGGCTTTGTCAAATGGACATATTGTTTACAAAGGTAATAGACCAGATTGTAAGAAAGAATCAACCCGGACGATGCTAGTACTTCATAATAAAAAGACTGGCAAGGTTCGGTTATTTGAAGCCGAAAGATGGGAAGTAGCACCAGTACTTGAAAAACTTGACAATGAGGACAACATCAATGACGTGGACCATAAGATTACAATACTGAATAAACAATTTGGATCTAAGAAAATCAAACGCAGAACAGAGCAATTTGAGAAGCTAAAAGTGAATGTCGAGAGTGTTAAGGAACAACTCGAAAAAACAGTATCAAGTAAGAAAGTTCTTTTTTTCCTTCATGTTATTGTATAATTGATTTCTCAAATAATATCTAATTACTACGATTTAAATCTTAATGATAGTATTGTCATTAAGATTTATTGTATGTAAAAACTCACTGAGTTGTCTTTTGACAGATGTTGAAATCAACAGGATAGATTTATCGAGTCAATTACCAAATGATGACTGCTTAAATGCGATACTGCCTGTATGTAACAGGAATGCGAGTAATGTCAAAGATGTATACAATATATATGATATTATTCCTAGGAGTAAATTGGAAATGTTATATGAGCATGCAATGAAGATTACTGACGAAGACATGAAAGAGTACTTAACAACATTTTTTACCAATGTTAAAATCTTACACATCTTAATTATCCAGAAATTGTATGTATGTTTCTTTGGTCACATAGGAAGGCAGAATTTTTCAAACACACTTTAAGAATTATGCAATCGGATCCTGACAAAGTAAACAAAATCGCCCTTTTGCTTTATATTGAAATGATCAATGAATGGTTTGCTATGAAAATCACCAGAAAACGCGACATTGTTATATGCTCGATTTCCGAGGAAGTGAATCAACATATTATCGATATGTACAGTGTATCCGGTCCAAATGGACGGTGAGTGAGCATCACTTGTATTAATCACGGATAAAATTTTAACAAAATTTATTTTACAGGATGAGACCAAACTTTATGACAGACAAAGGCCTTGTACACAGCTTGATTCTCGCACTGACGATATCAAATTTCACACTGGATTTGGAAATGTTCCGATTTATGTTCAAAAAGCGAACGAGTCTAAAAAAGCTAATGGGTCTCACGAAACTTATCGGGGCGGTACCCTCTAAAAATGATAAGAAAATCATCGTGCTTAAAGTTCCGATGCCAGCACCAGTATCTCCTGTTAAAAAAACAAAAAAATCAGTGAAATCTAATCAGTGACTTTTTTAAATTATAAATAGTCTTAATATGTGTGTCAATATAGAGATTAATTATTTTAACATTTCCAAAACTTTTCTTCTGAAATACCTTTTCTGAAAAACTAAAAAGAAAAAAGTTTAATACCAGCTTGATCAAAAAGTTTCCGGAAGAGACCACCAGGTGATGCTCTGAGTCAGCTGATTTGAGTTCTTTTTTTTGGCTAGGTTGCCACATCTATCATTGACATTTCCATCAAATTTTATCGCCATAGCTTGACATTTGTAAAAATTACGCCGTCTTGAGTACATCTATCTCTGCGCGTGATACCATCCAACAGCCATCGATCGATCGAGTCAAAAAACCTGCGGGGAACGCGTTTTAACAGTCGAAAGGAGGTAATGGAAAAATCGAAGACGGCTCTGATGGCTACCAATAATAGAGTTCCAGAAATGTTTCGAGAGCTGGATCAAGCGCTGGCATAAGTGCGTTGCAGTCGCTGGAGAGTACTTTGAAGGGGACAATATCACTTTTGATGAATAAACTTGCATTTTGAATTTTCTGAATGAATTCCGGAAACTTTTTGATCAACCTAGTATGTTTTTAAACATTTTATTAAAATATCATAAAATCATGTTTGTATCTCAGAAGATGTCTGAAATATATATATACACCTTTATACTCTCATGCTGATACGAATTCTCTTTGATCTTTGTAGATAAAAAGCTATAAACACAATGTAGCCAGCTAGGTTTTTAGTTTGAAAAATTAATATACAATTTTTAAAAGAAAAATAAATTGCTAAATTAAACGTGTAATTTTGGAATTTACCTGTTAACAATTAATTCCCCAAGAGAGAGAGAGAGAGAGCAAAAGTTTCAACTCTGATTTGCCCGCTCCTGCCTAAACAAAATCCTGATTACATCCATATTCAAACAATTATTTCTTACCCGAAAATATACATAAAATATTTTCAAACATTTTATTAAATGTATTAATAGATTAAAAAATTTTTTCTGTACACAAATATATATAAACACTTTTGTCAAAGAAAGTTAAATAAATGAAATATTTTAATTTATATTTTTATAAAAATGAATATAAATATTTTTATATTTATAAAAATATCTTATTCGAAGAATAATAATATTCGAGAAATGATTTCTTTATTTTTCAAAATTATCTGCATAAGTATTTATTTTTATCAAGTATGTATCAATATTTGTCCTTGATCTTAATACGGAGCTTGATTAAGCTTGATATGGCAGGATCTCGAATGTTAAACAAGAGGTTATGTTATATTAGAAATTAATTCGTCTGTCCTATCTCCTACCGAAAAAAACTATTTATCACATCCATTACACAATTGCGATATCGTAATACGGCAAGAAATCCAGTGTCTTAAAACTAAACATAGAGAGCGAGTTTTCGACATAACATGATAGCCGTATTGACCAGACGAGCGAGTGGAGGGGATCACATTCGAAAGTGCATATCGCGCATTCTGGATCGCAGAGATTTATCCGCCGCTGTCTCGAAAAAAACCAAGATGGTAAGTCCTTGGATTTGTCGACGATTTTGCAGATTGTTCAGATCAAAAAGAATTCCGATAGAGTAATTAAGATGTACAAATCCACCTGTTGGGCGTGATGAAAGTGATATGATGGCTGCAGCCACTTGTTACTGCTTGTTACACAAATCTTGTCTTACTTGCATATATTCTGAGCGATATTAAATAAGATATTGATAAAAATTGTATAAGACACTAGCATATGTTGCAAATAATGATAATTTATAGAAATTTGTTGATTCTTATCAGAGTAAACTATCTCCGGAAGAAAGAGAACAAAACTTGAGCTCATTGCTATCAACAGGATGGACTGTCCAAGCGAACAGGGATGCAATTTATAAGGAGTTTGTATTCAAAAACTTCAATGAGGTACATTGCATGAATATTGCTGTTATTATAATCTTGTTGCCCAGTTATCTGATGTTATGTTTCAATTTTTAGGCCTTTGGATTTATGACAAGAGTAGCTTTACAGGCTGAAAAAATGGACCATCATCCTGAATGGTTCAATGTTTACAATAAAGTAAATATTACTTTGTCGTCTCACGACGTGAATGGATTGTCACAGAGGGATATAAAACTGGCAACCTTCATAGACAAGGTTGCTGCCCCTACTGGCAACTAAGTCTCGTTTGATTCATCTATTGATCTGTCAGAGCTTCATCTGTTGTACATTTATTATGCGTGTGTTGACAATAATGAAAAAAATATTCTTTGTTATTGATTTGTAGCATAAATATTGATAGCATTAATTATATCTTTCAGTTTTCAACTCACAATGTATATTATAAATAGCAATCCTTTATATTCCACTGTCCTTTATATTCAATTTGTAAATTACATACGAAAAGTTAGGTAGCATAAAAAAGAAAACAAGTTCTTAAATTAGTAAATAATTTATTCCGGAATAATTTATGAATTACTTAACAAGTTATTTATATACGTAATGAAATTATTTCTGCTGCAGTAATATTGATCAGATTTCTATTTATCTTTACCTATTGCCCAGCCATTTTTAATAGTTTTTGTAAGGCCAGGGCCATTATAAATCAGCACAAACAGACCGGCAAGAGTAGTGACAGAAAGTATATTCAGCATAAGAAACACCAATTTTGGAACCAATGTACCCACCACAATGGGTCGTGCGTAATCAAGAGCGATAGCTTCCAATCCCCTGTGTAATAAAATTATTCTTTCAAACATATTTTCTACATAATAGATTTATAAAAAAAAACAAATTAGAAAAGAAGATATGTTAAATATCAAAGAATATCAATTACCAATGTGTATGAATGACAATAGCACCTGCCAGTATCATATCGATAAATTTATTTTCTAAAACTAGGGCAGCAGGTATTAGTAACAGAAAGGATACAACCACCATTCTCTCTATCATCCACATGCGCACATGATCGCTATGAGCGCTTACCGCACGAGTTTGGGTCATGCTAACTGTTGATTGTACAGACAACTGGAAGAAATTTGACAAAATAAAATATATCTTATAGCGTACACACTTATTCTCTTTTTTTTAGAATATAAGAATAGATAATAGAAATAAAGTCAGAATAAAAATTCTGGAACTACCAACCTTGGACAGAATATTACATTTTGGATAATTGCTTGCATTAGAAATCACAGAGTTGGGAAACTGCGTTGGATTACAGCTTCGCACAAGTAAACCACCAGGCTTGATCAATGTTTCTGCAATAGAATCATCGATTTGCAATTATGTTAATTATTCGATAATTAACAAAATAAAAATAAAGCAAATAATGAACAAAGTATCAATGTAAAAAAACTTTATTAGATATTCAAGAAAATTTGGTGAAAATGATACGTTTTCTGATCGAAAGATTATGTAAACGCACTTTCAGGTAAGGTACGGAAAATTGTACTCAGCTCGCGAAACGAAGCGCAAGCATGATGCTGAAAATTATAAAAAAACTTGTATGAGACTTACCAAGCTGTCGAATTTTGCGGAAAACATTGATATTAGCAGCTCTTCATTTGACGTAACTCCACTGACCTTGTGAAGCAAGAAATAACTTCCGGCGATTTTAAACCAAAATCAATTTTCAATCAAAACAACTCAGTTATGATTCAGCTATGCAAAAAAATAAACAATATTTCAGAATAGATATATTATAGTCAGTTGACAAGATAAGTTTTGACGTGCAGGTGGTGCAAGTACAGTGTAATGTGCACTCTTTTGTAAGTGTTTTGTTCTTCGTGCCCTCGCTGTGTCACATTTTCTGCACTTAAAGTAAATGGATATACATACTACGTGTCGAGAAGAAAAAGAGAAAAGAAAGAATACCAAAAACGAGTAAAAAAGACATGTAAAAACGAACTACTTTCTTGCACTCAAAGCAATATGTAAAAAGAGTATTTATGAAATCTTCCTACTAAAACTTCAGTCTTCTCTGGTTTTCTTGAGTTTCTCGCCAAAAGTAAAAATCATCTAATGTTCTATTCGTGTTTATTACTGTAAAAACAATATTGAACATGGAAAAGTTTCAGAACCTCGACTGGTATGCGAACTATTTCATTAAATAATTTTAAGCATAAATTCGAAGTATAAATTTATAAATCAGAATTAAAAGTAGATTTTGTAATTTCTGTTTATGTATATACGATTTGTACGATTTGGGTATAATTCTTTTTCATGATTATTGAATGATCCGTGATATATAATGCACTTAGACTGTTTGACGCGATAGATTCTGCATTTTTTATAATTTATAGAAAGATTTATATTAAATTTATATTAGATTCTTGGTTCACATTTGAAGGATTTGCAGTGGGCTAACTCATATTTTGTAAATGGACTTTAAAGTGATGTGATATTGATATTTTTCCCACTTTTCTAATTTGAAAAAGTTCATTTTAAAAGCTTCGTTTTATATGTTAATTAATCTAGCAGCAAGTCTTTCATTTACACTTAACTCTTAATTAGTACATACAATTGAGTCATTTGTATCTTGTGCATTTCTTTTCTTTGAAATATTAGGAGAACTTGGGTAAATAATGGTCTCTAATGAGACCATTCCTTTTTTTTAAATGTAATTTTATAAATATTTTCTTAAGATGTGAAATGTAAGAATCACTTATAAAATTAACTGATTTATTATGTGTACTAAGGGTTAATAATTATTTGTATATAATGTAAATCTTCCTGTATATTATTATATTATACTTGATTGTGATATAGTTACTTCATTGTAGGTATCCTCCATTGGAAGATTTGATAGACAATGTATTCATCAGGGATGAGAGAATGGAACGCGAGAGTGCAATGTACAAAATTTTGACTGGTAACTTTACGGATCCACTTGAAGATATCGACAACGAGTATGCTAATGTTAATTTAGAACTGGTTAAAAAATATCTCCGTGAGGATGGCGAGGTTTTAACCGATTCAGAAGATGATAATCAGTTAGAAGTCAACCAGCAAGAAACCAAGAATGAGGGTAACTCTCATATGCAAGAACAAGAGAGATCTTATGTACCTGGCATAAGAAAATTATCATTTGGTTTTCCTAGAAAGTCTTCTTTAGACAAAGCTCAGCAAGCTATGTGCCTTCGTGTTTTATTAAGATTGTCTGACAATGAAAAAAAGAGCATGTCCGATGAAGAGAGAAAAGAGTTTGAGCAATACATGGTAAATAGACATTATTGAGTTTAAATTTCTATATTTTTTAATATCCAGTTCAATATTTTCTATTTTATAAGACTAAGCAAGTCAAAAAAGAACAAGAAAAACAATTTAAATTTACTTTTATTTATGAACAATTTAATAAATTTCTGATTTATTATTGAAATTAAAATTAACTTCTTCCAGGCATTCCAAAAGATAATATCTGAAGAACAGAAGGACTTTCTAGATTTTGCAAAGAGTCAATGGGATGATACTTTCAACTGGAAAATCAAATGTAATAAATTTGTGATAACAAAATGGAACACAAAAATGCAAAGATTTAAAAAATTACCGAGATATTATGTTGAATCTATAAGCGTACCACTTTCTGTACAAAGAACTAATTTAAAAAATCAAGATATTAAAGTAAAGATTTCGTCTTGTTTGCAACAGGTAAGTTATCATGATTGATATTTATCTAATGTATTCAATTTAGATGTGTATATTATTTTATTGTTTTCAGGGATCCTTTCCAAAGGTGGTATTGCCGAAACTTGATCAGCAACATCTATTGTTCATGAATAGTGCATCATTGCTAACAAAATATCCTCCGTGCATTGAACCTGACAAAGTGACGCAACATTTCAAATTACCCGTGAGCGAGGATACATATTGCGAGAATCTTGCAATGGAAACTGGAGCAGATATTGTTATTTCATCCAGTGGTCTCAAGTGTCTACTGAGCAACATAGATCCGGATCATTCTGACTCATGGCTTGTACCAGTAGTTGTGAAATCGCATTGTGGAAAGAATATTATTTACATTGATAAAAGATTGCCACCTACCATTGCCACCATACCACAAAAGAATTCTTGGATATATAAATATATCCTTAGATACTATTTTGTTAAAAGTAAATCATCAAAAAAGTGAGTATAAAGCATAAATCATAAAGTATAATATTATATAAAAATTGAATTTGTTATGTATATATTATGACAAATATTTTAGAACAAAACATACTATAGAAGATAAACTCGAGAAGGCTGCAAATCATTCAGACTCGGATAGTAATGATAATTTATCTAATTATCTTAAAATCTTTGATAAAGATTTGTGTTTATCAGATACAGATGATCTAGCAAGTGACAAAACTGATTCTAAAATAAATAAAAAAAATGTTTCATATAATCTTTTCGAAATAGGACAAATGGATCTTCCAGAACATGAACGAATAAAACATGGAGTAAAGGTCTATCAAATGTTGGTTCGTACAAAAACGGATGGCGTTGAGGTAAGAATATTTCTCGTACTTATATTAATAGTAAGTATTGAATAATGTAATATGAAACCTATCTTTGATTAGATATTATCAAACAATAAACGTCAGTCTTTAATATTATCACCAAAGATGGAGCATCAGCTAGAATTAGGAGCTGAAGCTGTAACATTAGAGGAAGGCTTGCATCAGTGGGCATCATTAAAATTTAGACCAAACACATTATTAGCTAGAGGTATTATTTTATAATTATATTATGTGTACATGTATGTATTGTATTCATTGTTCTCAAAATGGATTACAATCTCATGTTACCCTTGTACCATATAATACTTACACTTAACTTAATTCTTTAATTAGCTTCTTATAAATTATATAAAGTATGTAAGGGATGAGAATTGGGATCATATCTTTGAGATTTGTCGACTAATCTACCATTTTTGTTCTTACATGGAATTACTCACTTGACTATATATATTTTTTGTACAGTCAGGATAGAAACTAGTACTTCAGAAATAATACAAATAGAAAAACATACAACAGTATCATTGAGCAATGAGATAAAACGACTTTATAATGTTAAGGTAGAAGATTCTCTAAATATTTTGTATAATATAATCGAAGGATTGTCATCCTTAACTCCTGGCCGATATATTATGAGGCATGTCCCACAAAATGGACCGTTTGCTTATATTTATGAAAATACAATCGAACATAGGTAACTAAAATAAATGTAACCTGTTAAATCTAAACTGTTAAAAGAATATATACACAACTGGCCATAATCATTCGAACGACAGATATTTTATACTATGTCCCATTTTAAAAGCTAAGTAAGCGTTCTATATTGCTAACACAAATAATACTTTATTATTGATGTTTTAGTATAATTGACGCGGTTCTTGTTATATATTGATTATAATTGTAAGTATTCTAAATTTAAATTGTTAAGATAATTTAAAAAAATTATAAAAAAATTATTCTCGAATAGATATATTAAATATCATTTCGTTTGTCTAATACAACCTATTGTAATTAGAGATAGTTCGCAATGAACGTTGTCTCAGTAATTTAAATTTAAAATAAGTATAATTACAATCAATGTACAAAAAAACAACGTCAATTATTCAAATAAAGTATTATTTATGTCAATAATATGAGACATTTAGAATCAAAGTATATATATTATAAAATATATATAAAATATTTGTCATTTTAATAATTATGAGCGATAAGATGTATCTAGATATCAGAACATATAGATTTCAATCATCTAACAAAAAAAAATATGTTCGGAAATACTTTTCAGGAAAAATGCCTTTGATTTACATTGGGCTTGCCAGAACGAGTTTCAAACAATATCTAAAACACCATGGCCACCTATAGACAATATGATGTCAACACCATCACTTAGATGTTTTCAAAGAATGCCTGCGATGTTTTTTCCAATTTTGTATCAAAAACAATTCAAACTTAAGGCCGGCTCAAGCCGGCCTAGAGGACGTCCAAGAAAAAACGCTAGTGGTATTAACGATCAAGGTTAATGATTCTTTTAATATTTTAAACTGAAATATATCAGTTAAAAGAGAAACAGTAAATATTGACAAAAATGGCTCCGATAATTTTGTTCTTAACAGACCATATTGTATGTTGTCCTAGGGCACTATCCTGAATAGCAATCGAAAGATTTTAGAAGTTGCTAATTATTTATATATTAAGACATTATTAATAAATAAAATTGATGACATAAAGGTGTATTTAACTCTAATTTGAATTTTACCTAATATAAGTATTATATTATTTGCATTTTTGTATATTCAATTTTGAATACGTAGATTTCTTTTGTCCTTCCAAGCATGGACTTTGCAAAATTATAAACTACATGATTTTTTAAATATCCTATATTATATTGAAGTATATAACGGTTTCACATGAGTTTTTAACTGAGAACTTGAATTCTCAAATTTATTTTATGTAAAGTAAATACTTGTAAAACATCGTTCTCTACTTACAATGCGAAATGAGGTTTATAATTTGTTATATTATAAACATTAAATAAATATCTTTTCAATATGGTTTATTTATTCCACGTAGTTATAACGTGAGTTCATTATAAATTTGCCTTTTCTTTTACTTCTTACTAATTTTTCACCTTTAATTATGTGAATAATTTTTTTAACGAATGACATTCAAAACCTCATTTCTAGAAATTATTTAGGAGAGTACTCTTAACAATATAAATATTAAAATCAAGATCGGAGCTGTTGTCGATATTTACTTCCTATTTTAACTACATTAAATTGTTAGTTAACAGTATTTATATATATGCTTTATTATTCACCATTCTTTATATATTATTTTTCATTCCTGTGAAAAATATTCTCATAGCATCTTATAATATTTTTAGAATTATAAAAAACAAAAAATTCATAAAAATTTTTATATGCTGGAGAGCGATGAGTAAAATAACCGATTTCGACAAAATGTAACATAAATTACTCACATAATCTTATAGTTATAAAATTGATACTGCATTTAACTCAAAAACTATAAGATTACATGTAATTTATACTTTTCAAATCAAACTCGGTTAATTTTACTTATTGTCTTTATGAAGATTTCTAAAAAAAAAGATTTTCAACTTCTTTAAATTTTAGAAGTTTTAGAGATCTTTTAAAGAAATCTTAGAATATTTCAGAATTTACATATATAAAGAATTTTGGAAAATACTTAAACCATGTCAGGATCTTTAAAAGAATATTTTAGCAATATTTTAGCAATATTTTTACTTTATGAAAATGTATCATTGTATATCAAAATTGTATATTTGTAATATTAGAAGGAATATACTCAAAATAATCGGAATGAGATATGAAAAAAAATAAAATTAAATTTAAATATGACAGCAACTTAAAAGAAAACAAGCAAAAAGTTTGAAAAGTGAACTATTATTTATATTAATTATTATATATTATTCCTAATAGACAAATTTATTGAAAAAAAATTTTGTAAACTATTTGACAAATTTTATCGAGAGAAAATTACAAATTTAATCAAAAATTTGTCATATAGAATATGCCATAGAATTAGTAGAACGATGATAAAAATATAACAAAATTTATCAAAGAAATAACTATAATGAAACAACTGCAAATCTACAGCAAGTACACCAGTTTTGGCGGCAAAAATGAAATAAAAAAACTTGGGTTCAAATATTAATCTGCTGCAATTTCTGTTGGAATTTGCTATCAATTTACAAATTGTCAACTGTTTACTTACTAAGATTCTTCTCAATTGTATATTATAATTGTACAGATTATATTTTGTCCATATTTTTGTATAATTTTTTAAAATAAATGTACTTACGAAGTTCCAAGTATGTGAAAAGATTTTTTTTTCCAATTATAATTCTTTTTTTTTTATTTGCCAACTATGATTATCCGAACGTGGATAATTTCTAAAGTCTATTCTGTTTCTCGAATAATAAAAATACTATTTTATTTCTGGTACTAATTTTGTACATGTTTAAAATATGCAATATATTTAAAATACTGAATCAGACTTCTCGTTTTTAGTTCCTGTATCTCCCCGGAGAAGTGATCGGCTAAGAAAAACGAATACAACGTAAAGGACAAAACGCAGCATAATTTTCTAAAGATTTCTATTTTAAAAAAGAGAATTGTTTTTAAAATGGCTGTTTATTTTATATACAATGGAACCCTTATATTTTTTATTCTCACTAACTATTTCTCCTTTTATACTCTCTCTCATTTTATTACATTTATATTTAAACATGTCTAAATTGAAAATATATGCATAATTAACTTAAAATAATGACATTTTCTTTCTACATATGTGGTTAAGTGTAAAATAATGGGAAAACAATGTAGAAGGAAAATGATCATAAAAGTAAAGCAAAAAAAATATATTTAATTGTGTGCAATTGATATACATACAAAGTATAGCTTTAATTTGATGTATATACGAAATACTATTGAATACAATGTTATGGACATGTTAAATCTAAATGTTCATGTATTCGTGAATTTTCTTCTGTGGTTATATTATCTTTTTTTACTCATTTTAACTGCATAAGTAGAATAATCATATCTATTTTTCATTTGTCTTTTTATCATATGCGTAGTTATATGGCAAATGCGAATAGCGAAAGAGAAATGCAGAGAAAGTTTTCTTGATATTAATCTGTTTATAGATAGACATATTTGTTTATATATAGATATTTAACATGTATTTATAATTTATTGTGTACAGAATAATTAATAAGAGATAAATTAACTTTTTCTTCTAATTTCACAAGCATACATGCGTTTTATAAAAATGTTTTACGTTGGAACATTTTAGTTTACTTTACAAACTGTGATCTATAAGTATATTTATATTTACACATACAGATGCATATATAGAATGTATATATTTTGTTTTTATTTATATGAAAAAAGCAGGGAAATAAATAAACAATATAGAATGTTCTTGATTTTATTTTCATTGATTTCTCAATCATTTCTCATTCTTATACGATGAGATTCTTTATGTAAATCCTTTGATAAAAATAATATATAAAATATAATTTAATTAAATATAATTTGTATATGTATATATAAACGAGATTGAACGCAGAACGTCGAGAAATTTTACTGGCCTACTACATAATACAGTAAAGATTTCAAAAAAGTATTACAAAAATAATATTTAAAAATGCAGCAAGGTACTTTTTAAATTTTTTCAGTAAGCAATATATTAAGCTGGAATCCAGTGCAGGTATATATAAAGTTGTTTTTTTATAGATTATGCATCAATAGGCAAGTATGTACCTTGAACCTTCAATAACTTTTTCAAAATTATGTGGAAACCAGAGAGAGAAGAGCCTTCTTGTAATCTCCCGATGTGTCTCCCTGTAATATATATACTCATTAGTAATTTATTGCAAAATATAATTTAAATAATAGAATGAATTCGTTGGAAGTATGTAATTTGGAGTACATACAGCTATCCAGCTCTCCAGTGACTTTCCGTAGCGTTCCTCGAATGCCTTTTTAATATCTCCCAAGTCGATTTCACTTCGAGACACAATGATACGAATTAGTGTTCGATCCTTTGTACCTATGCCGTGCATACTGGCGTATAGACGTTCAGCGAAAAATCCAACTTTTGACTTCACGCATTTCACTGTCAATCACAAAAATTAAAATAATTCATAATCATATAGATGAATATGTACATTAATTATATATTAATGAAAAATATTTGGATAAATACGAGTAAACTAACTGGGAGCATTCTCTTTTCATGCTATAAAGTTGTACTACGTTTTTTATATTCAATCAGGAACTTATACAGATTATACATTTATGCAGAAGGTCTATATAGTAACAAATATTTTTATATGTTACATGTAACAGTTGCCATGCAACATTGTTAGAGGATATATAACATAGGATTCAATATCATACAGGTATTCACACCATTTTCACATGCATTTTATGAACCAACTCAAATTATGTTTCTCTTTAATAATTATTACACAATAATGGAAATATCTTTTCCTTTCATACTAAAATCGCAAATATTACTATTAATCTGGATTAAAAAGAATCTGACAATTGAATTATATACAAATGAAGGAGAACAGACTAAAAAATTAGAGGGTATGCCTATACATTTTACGCTAAAAGTTGGGAATCTATGTGTACTCGTGTCCAAAAGTGTCCAACTCTAAGAATCACAGCAATTATATGAATATTTCTATAAATAGGTAAACGAAAACTATATAAAATCTTGCTGCGGTAACTTGCCTCGACCCTGTGAAAATTTTTCGATCGTTAACGAAAGTTCGCAGAAAGTGAACATAAATTTGGATTGTCAAGTATTCATGAAAATTTCAACTCGTGATATCATATTATGCTATGGAGATTATTGATACTTCGTTGCATTCAAGGGACATATAATTTCCTTGTATCGAACTGCTATGTCAACCATTTGCTCGTATTTCACACTGAAAGACACAATTATTTTCAGCTAAGTATAACGAAAAGCGAAATATAATCGAGCAAGTTTATCTTGATCATATAATCATATCAATTAATTCTGAAATACACATGTTTATAAAATAATATGAAACATAAAGGCTAGTCACATTATGAAATTAGTAACCGTAGTGATTCATAAATAAGAATGTTAATTACATATTCTGGCATACTCATGATAGTCGGAATAGATATGTAATTATTGTGTTTATATCTTATTTGGAAACTTTACCTATTCCAAGCAGGCCTTTCTCGATGCTGCCAGAAAATTCCTTCTTTATGGCAGCCTCTATGTCATGTCCAGATATTTTCTCATACTCGATAAATGTTTGTCGCAGCTGCTGATAGCTGCGAGATATCAAGATCGCGTTGAATTGCGATTCGTCTGTTCCCCACTGTTTTTCACCTGTATCAAGATTAAAAATAAAATATTGCGCATCATGAAATACAAAGTGACAAACATTTTGATTTTTTTTTTAATTAGTAGAATCAAAATAAATAAAAAAACTTAAAAAAATTTCGTGACATACCAGCTTCGTACAATGCTTGGGCATCGGCAATTGCTTGGGCATGATCAATTCCCTGATTTTCGTCTCTGTTTCCCTGCACAAGGGATACTAGCAACCTCTTGAAATGGCCCGATGTATCGTCCTTCAGATCGTGCTCAAGCGTTTTGCTATATACTATTCAGAGAATAATGTACTTTTAATTAATTAAGAAAATCTAATTATTTAAAATACATAATAAAAATACATAATAAATTGAGCTAACAAAAATCTTACAATTTTCATAAAATGTGGCGATCGTACGGACGCCATAATTGCTGAGAGTACATAGAATCTCAACAATCGCCTCCTCATCGGTACCCATACCGCTGATCGCATCGTGCAACTCCTTGGCATAATAATGTGGCAGTGGGGTCATAAGGGCAATAATGACATCCTCCAGTTTCCCAGTTAGCTCGCTTTTTAAATCGCTGATCAAATCCTTTCCGTACATGGTCTTGAAAGTCTCCGCGATCTCCAATCTCTGTACAATGCCTCTCTTTGTAAGCACGTCGATGATCGCCTTTTCATCCGTGCCGAATCCCTTCATCGCTTTACGTAAGATAGTAGCGTCTGCGTTTGGATCGAATGGTTCAGCGGGATACACAGTTGGAGTGCACTAAAACATAATAAGTTAGATTATAACAATCAAGTTTTGTAGAATCTCCGACAGAATTGAAGAAATCTATATATTTAGAGCAACTTTGATCAAACTAGTTCTGATTGATTCAAACGACGAAATTGCTTCTCACAGAATAAATTAACAGTGATATTTTATATCAATATTATAATTTCTGATTTAATATAAATGTAATATAACATATGTTGTACATAACAATTATATTTGAGCAGGAAATTATATTAATATATTGATGTAATGTTACTATTAAATTTGTATTCTGCGAGTATAAGCTTAAAAAAAATTTCTATAATTCGTTATTATTAATTTAATCTTTTTTTTCAATAATACGTTAAAAATAATAAAAAATTAATAATTTCATTCAAAATATTAATAGGTTATTTGAATTAATTATCAATTAAGTTAATCGAAATTTGATTAAAGTAATCCTTTCACAAGCTTATATTTATAAAAATTTATATATTTACAATTATATAAATAATTTATAAAAATATATTATTTACAAAAAGAATCATATTTAAAAAATGAAATATCGCACTCTATAAAACCGTGATTATAATTCAGATATTATACATTCAAAGAATCAATACAAATCTTCAAAAAAATTATGAATTAACAATTTCCAGTGATTGATAAGCATTTATATTTTTTCCAAAGAAGATTTATAGTTTTCCTTCTTATGCAAGATTCTTATAGTAATCAATTTAATAATAAGAAAAATTCTCCTTGACTTTTGTGCGCGATTAGTCATACTTTAGCGGAACGTGAATTGCTTTAGAAACTAGGCTGATGTTAAAAATACGGATGATCGACACCAGTGGATCAGTGTTCCGAATATATAGACTGATGCTACTAATTATCGCAGCCAATGACCTTGCCACTTGAACATTTTTTTCGGGATTATATACCTTGAACGGATAATATTGTTGCTGCGACATCTTGGCTTCCTTCTTTTTCCGTGACAGTCAGCCGATGTCAGCGATAAATAAACGGGCGGATGCGTCATCGACTCGGCAACTATCGTTTTTTGACGTTTCACGTGAGTCGGCGTGATTGCGACTCACGATCATCTAACGATCAGAAGCCGGTGCGGTCGAGAACTTGTCATTATGTTTCGACTAAACTCCAATTAACTGTGGTGCTTTCCAGCACGAGACGCAAGGTACTTGAAATTCTATTTTAGTGAGATAAATCAACACAAACATCATTTTATCTTTCTTGATATTCAGTGAATAACAAAGATAGAAGGGCATTTGTATCAATTTTTGTGTCACCAATAAATGGAAAACACGTATAATGATAATATATGATCATTTCGTCTTTGTTTGACATTGGAAAACAATAAGGATATAATTATTCACTGAGCTACACTGTCTCATCTGTGTTTCTTACTGAAAATTCTTGATCAATTTAGCATCTATATTTTTTTCTTTAATCTCGGTTTAACTTATTCAGCCTTTTATCTTCTTTTCTGCTTCTAAGAATTAAAAAAGAATAGTTTAAACCGAGATTAAAGCTTATACATTAATAAAAATAGGCCCAAGTTTGATTCCTTGTACTTGTTACATACGTTGTTAAAATATGTATCATTCTTGTTATTTAAGATAAATAAAATAGTTAAAATGCCAATGTAGAGTAACTTTATATTATAATTTCAATTTAACTTATTATTCTTTATGTTCCTCACAACCAATTATGTTCCTGATAAAAATAAAAATTGGAATAAGTAAAGGATATAACAGTGGCGTAAAATGAAGTTTTTCAAGAGGCGAAAATTGAGACAACGAAAAATAAAAGAGACATTTACGCGAGACTTTTTCTACATTTGACTTACATTTGACTTAGCTCCAATTTTTATCTTCACTAAGGCAAGATTAAATCTACATTGACCGAGTAGACATCAATCGATAAAAAGTTAATTAATCGGAGTTTAGTCGAAGTTCCCTGGAGTTCCCTTGAGATTAAGTACTTTGGGTCCTTAATTAGCATACCCGGCGATCCGTCATCGACCGCATTGATCGCATCGTCGGTTCCGAGCAACACCCGATAAGGATAAGGAATAAAAATATAAGGAATACGCGTAGACACGTTATTGAGTTATATGAACTGGGGAACACTCTATTGCTCTCCTTACCGGTCTCTAGTAGAACACTCTATCGCTCTCCTGTCGATGGAAAAACTCGGAGTACTCGGACACGCAGCGCAGAGGCAGACACAACCGATACCGACCCGAGCTATGCGAGCACTTTGAGCACTACTGTCACACTGTGAGCACACCGAGTCGCAACGGGCACACCCACTTTCACGTATCACGTCATCGTCCACGGCAGTCCACGGCTCCCTCAAGGCTATTACGAAAGCGATTGCGAAAACCCGCGCACGCGGCAATTTCTACGTTGCCGAATAAGAAGAAGGCATGACTTTTCTCTTGTCTTTATCTCTTTCTCTAAATCTCGTTTACTTTCTCAACTGTATCGCGAGATGCGCTCGCGCGCACAAATGTATTCAAGATTTCTCGGATCGACGATGAGAGTGCGGTCGATGGAAATTGAAACTGCAAAGGATTGATGCAGGATTGACGCTAAAGACCGACGTTAGAGATGAAAGCGAACTCCTCTACATGTGTTAGTCGATTGTAATAAATATAACCTCGATTCGATACAAGTTTGCGATAGAGGTTTGTTTATTTTTTTTCTCTTTTTTTCTATGAATAATATCTGTTCCGTCTGAGAAATTACTTTAATCGATATTTATAGTCGATTATTGTACTTAAATACATCTTAAGTACAGTCTTAAAATGTCACAATTATAGTTACATTAATATCTTAAAATACACACACACACACATACATCAGGTACTTTAAGGCCTGAATCCTAATGTAAAATTAATTTTAATCTCGATTTATTACATATTAGTAACTTGTTCATTTTATAATTTTAAATATAATAAATATTTAAATATAATAATATAATTTTAAACAATAAGTTAAATCAAAATTAATGTTGATCATACATTGATGGAACTGAACATTTAATTCTAAAAAATAGAAAAAGATGAGTTAATTGTACCAAGATTAAGATTAAATTACATTTTATAATAGAAATAGATATAAGATAGTATTAAAAGGCTCTGCAATTATTTCACTTTATCTTGCTTTAATTTCAGCCTTCCTGACGACTTACAATGATGAGCAATCTCATAGACGCACACTGGTTTCCTTTAGCATCTCAGGGAAATATTTATTCCATGACCAAACTGTGCTCACCCAATAGTTCCAACAAATTATTAGTGGCATCTTTAAAAAGAAAAATATATTCTTGCGAATACCATCAAACACCGGAATTTCTGAGACCTATGGTGAAGGAATTATTGTTCACATATATTCCCAGTATGTAAACTGTTTTATTCAAGAATTGTAGCATATGAAATGTCATACCATTTGGTTTATATATAAAACATTTACTTTTAACGAATGAATACAGAACTAATACAGGATTTATTACTAAAGTCTGATAATTAGATAATTAAATGGTATAACATTCCATATGCCATTCTGTATCTTCTTTTATAAATTCTTTAATCAATAACATTACAAATTAATTTTTTTATCTTAGGTGGTGCAGAGATTATTTCCATCGATGCTTATAACAAGTCTGACACTGGGGATAGTTTTGTGATAGGCATAACAATCATGAAGACTAGTACAGACACAATAGAAAGGTACTTGAACATATACACGGAGGGTGCAGTAGACGGCGAAGGAGACGAAGGTAGCTCGATCGAAGCCATAGCGCAGAATTGTCTCATGGTGGAACTGTCGTACACTCCTTACCATTTGTATCATACCGTTTTACCACAACAAAATTCTGTACAGGAGGTACATTAGCAATATTAGTCAGTTTAAACTGCCAATGAATCACATTACCAGAAGCCTTTTCTTTGTCTCTGCACTGGACTGCACTAAAATTGCTTTCCTTTTAGGAGACACAGTTGGCACAAATGTCATTTTATCCTTTTTTGTATTCAATGAATAACAAAGAATAACACTTGTGTCGATTTAAAAGAAAAGCAGCCAAAATCTTTCTATTTGACTCTTGCCAAATATATTTTATATATTATATATTTATTATTATATTTATTATTTTATATATGTTTTTATGTCACGGTCAAAGTGTTAAGTCAGTAAATGTATACACTTACTATAGTCTGCTGTAGTACATAAATGTATACATTGACTAGAAGTATATACATTTACTAAAGTTAATACTTTGACTATAATACATTTCATTTTAAATACAATGAGTGTACACTAGTTTGGCTACAAAGAACAGACCTAATTATCATGGTTTCTACTGCTTTATAGCATAACTCAAAATTTGCAGGTAGTTTGGCTAATATCTGGGAGCGATTACAGGATTCATATGATAAGGGAAGATAAATTAAGTCACGTTTACAGCGAGTCCTCTATTGAAAAATATTTTTCGGAGCTGCATGATATCCAAGCAATCGTGCTATGGATTAATATTTATTATTATGACAATTATAAACGGTTCGTATAATTAAAAAAAAAAATTCGAATTTCATTCTTTTATCTCGATTTGATATACAATCTTATGCATGCAGGCGAGTCACTGCCGTTGGCTGCGAGTGCGGTCTAGTCAAAGTTGCCATCGTAAATGTGGATGATATGCAAGTTTCTCGAAGCTGGTTGTTAAGATACGACAAGCCTGTACCAAGTGTGATAATATTCCCGCATAGCAACACAATTATTAAACCAACCTTTGCAAATATCAATTGTAAATATTTAAATATATTATTTATGGATGTAGCATATTTTAAAATAAAAATTATAAAAAAATTTCAGCTGAGGAATTTATCTCGAAGGATGACGTCCCAAAATTAAATATTGTTATTTCAAGTACAAATAATGCTATTGTCTTTAAGTAAGTAGTTTATAAATTAATAAGTTTTTTTTACAATCAAAATGCAAGTGTTTATCTTTCAACAGAGATATCTTGCAATATGGAATGAAACAGGATGTGATATTAAGCGGCAGCGAATCGTCGGATTGTATTCTGTGCTGTTGCATAGCGGATATAAATATGGATGGCCAAAACGAGATCTTGCTTGGTACTTACGGTCAGGAGGTCCTGATCTTCGCGTTAACAAGCGACACGTGGGAATTAGCCATTAGAAAGCTATTTGACGCTCCTGTGCACTCTATAAGCTACATGGACATAACAAACGATGGAATAAAAGAACTGATTGTGCTCACGCAACGAGGTGTACATATATTACAGGTTCATAATACTTCTCATGCATTAAACTTTAGATACATTCTTTTAAGTAATTAACATGTACATTTTTTATTTTTATATAGCATAACATAGCTGATATACGAGCGAAATGGAAGGAACGTTATAAAAAATTATTTAATATGCTAGCTCAAGAATAATTATATTTGTATTTAAAAGGTAATATCCTATATATTTTATATATTTATAACGTATTTGTAATTTTTAAATAAAATTAAAGATGTAATATTTGTTAAAGATGAAATGTATGATAAAATAAAGGATGAAATATATCTGTTGAATTATTTTAAATTGATAGAAGGATTAGTCTTTGTCGAACTATTGCGTTTTTCAAAAGAAGCGCCACAAAGCAGCCAATCACGGATCTAAACGGAGGAACGCGTGCGTCGCACGTGACGTAAACGTACGTGATTGGTCGTCGATCGAAGTCGCACTTCACGCGGCCATGCAAATCCGCTCCGATCCGAATCGGTCCGCGGGGAACGGGATCTCGTGACGTTTGTGACAGTTTGTCACGCGCACGTGTTCGCGAGTAATTGCACGTTCGTCGGCTACGTTCAGAGCGGATAGATCCTCGCCACCGCTGGGCTGCCATGACTGGCCGCGTTGATCCCGCGCGAGGAAGTGCTGCTGATGATCGATACATCGTCGTGTTCGCGTTGCCGTTGTTGTCCGGCACCGATTGAGATCTGGACTGCCAGGTGACTCGGACCCGAGATTCGTGATTCGCGATGACGAGCAAGAAGAGTCACACCCTCCGCATAGAATCCGAAATCGATCGGAATCGCGAGGACGGCAACTGGAAGAAGGTTATACAACTCGCGGACCATCTAAAAGTGCAGTACCCCAGCAACGGTAAATGTTTCTTCTTCCTTCCTCCCTCCCTCCCTCCCTCCGTCGCTCTCTGCCCTTCTCGGCTCCACCATCTGATCTGGTTTGATCTGGCCTGATCGCGGCTGTCTCTCTCACATATGTTGCTTACAGCAACAACGTCCCGCTATTTTTTACAAGAGAAAGAGAGAGACAGACGGAAGGAAAAAAGATGTCACGTAAAGATCAAGGATAATTCGCAGCCTTCGTGAATGAAATGTCATGCTCTTTCTGTTTAATTATATATCGAGTTATATATATCCTCGATGTTTTGTTCCTGTAATATTTTGCAGTATCATTTATGCTGTTTTAATTCCCTGTTTTTAATTACTGTTTTGCGTAACAAACACGCAGAGAGAAAATAATGTTTATATAATAATACATTGATTAAATATGTTGCCAGAAAATTAATGAAATATTGCCGATCGTTGCCAAATATTTCTTTGAAGCAATACTAAATATTTAATAAATTCTATTTTATTAAATATTTACATATGTAATTTGTATATGAATATAGACAGGATTCTATAGCAACTTGATTTTGCTCGACAGAATGTCTGGCGAATTTCTTAAGCGGAGAAGCAAGATTGGAGAGTTTTTTGGAACAAACTCCACCGATAGATGCTAATATTGTCAAGGCACGAAATGGACTGACTGAAACGCGAAAATACTTGTTACTAGCTGCTAATGAAAAGGATAAACAGGTACTGTAATATCGTGAAAGAATAGTGTGTCAATAAGAGTCAATTGTGTTTGATTGGTTTGCTTCTAATAATACCGTTTCAGGCATTAGTTGTTCTGGATGCTCATCTGCTACTTGGAAAACTTCACTATGCGATGGGAATGTACGAGGATGCGATTCATCACTATCAACAAGCTGAACTAGATACACTCACAGAAAAGCAATTACCTTGTCGAAGTTTACGTATTATAGCAGAATCATATGCAATTAAAGGTTTGCAATTGACAACTATTATGGTTTCTTTCTTCTGACGATAGTAGTACATTTTAGTGCAATATTTAAAAAGGTACACATAACAGCTTGCTTTATAGTTTTCTGTGTTTTCTTTCTTAACAGTAGTTTTTTTGTTTGATAGTTATGTGGTTAGATTATATCTATCTATCTATCTATATATATATATATTATGTGCAAGATTTGCATTGAACATAGGCATTTCATAATAGATAGCATAAATTGAAACTGTATACTTCGACAATTCTACTGCATATATATTGTCTTCCCATTAGCGTGTCCATGCACTAATTTTAGTAACAAATTGATTAGACACATTTATTTAATTCATAGATTTCTTATTATCCAGTATATTCATTTATTACTATGGCTTTTGTTTGATTTAGAGAAAGAAAGATCGTTTACTTTAGACACTGACAAACATTTATCCTGCCGAAGACTGCGCATTATAGCAGAATCGTATGCGATCAAAGGTTTGTATGCTTGTTTGCTTCGTTTTGCTTGTATTTATTTAGAAATTTATTTAATTACTGCACATTTATGCAATATATGTATATTGCACACTTTATAATAATATCCATTTTATATAGAAGCTTGCTTGTAAATGCTTTTATAAATTTAAGAATATACATCAGCATGTTATCTCATTTATGTATTTTTTAATATATAGAATTTTCAAAAAATCTCTTAAGCGCGCGCGGGATAAATAAAAATTCTATGCTTTTGCTTCTTTTGATATTTAATTTCATGTACTTGTTTCTATCGAATACAACTAGATTTAGTTGCTATGAGTTTGGGACAAGCACGATATGAAGATCGTTATTATTCACAAGGAATGAAGCTATAACAAGTTTTGTAAAGTATTTTGTCACACATTTTTGCCTACTAAAATTGAAAATTTTAATTTTATTGTGTAAATTTAGTTTTTTTTCTTAGCATTGTCATAAAGGTATCAGTATTCCCTATTTGATAATGATATTGTAAACTGTTACTCATGTTAGGTCTCTGTCTGGAAAGGTTACCACCACATTCTAAGTCGAAATACAAGATTACAGAATGGCAAGAACAGATAATCAAGTGTTACGAGATTTCTGGTGACTTAACGCTGGTGTATCTGCAGGAGCAAGACAAAATTGCTATGCAACAACAAAATGGTATTTCCACTATAAATACGAATAATACAGGTAATTGGCAAAGTTTAATCCGATAAAAAAATATAGCCTTTAACATTTTAACGTTTCTTCTTTTTTTTTATAGGTACATATTCTACACCAACTCCAATTTCTACAAAGCATATCGGTCCCATTTTGGAAACTGCGCTACAGAGAGCGCCAATATTGTATATTCAAACCGGCAACATACAAGCCGCTGTTAATCGTTATAGGTATGTGTTAATTACATAACTCCATTTCTTGTATAAGAAACTTTCTTACGACTTATTAATTAACAAAAATATATACTTATAGATACTTGTTGTGATAATATTAATTTTAAGAAAAATATTTATTATAATGATATATATAATTATATTACCAAATATAATTTTTCCATGGATAGCTTATAATCTGTTTCAATTTTATACAGGGAGATTTTATCTGCTGTTGAATCTACAACTACTCAGAGCTTGCGAGTAACTCTGACCAGACAGTTGGCGGAAGTGTTATTACGTGGCATAAGCGGTACTGATTACAAACCACCAGACGAACAAACTGACACAATGGGTATGATAACAAATATATATATCCGCATAAATATAGCGGAATATTCCGAAGAAGAAAAATTCATTTATATTAATATTGCAGCAGCCGTGAGTAATAGACGGGTAAATCATTACTCAGGCGCCAATCTGTCGGATTCGCCGTGGAAACCAAAGAAGTACGCGGGACCAAATATGTTCGTCCCCAGGAACGAGTACGAGGAGTCGATTTTGCTGTTGTTGATCAGCGAGGCGATGGCGGTAAGAGACGCCGTTCTCAGTCAATCACCTGAATTCAAGGAAGCCAGGATACACGCGTTTGAGAACGCCACTGCTATCTACGATCTACTCACAGTTGTTGTCGTCAGATGGAGTCAAGTGGAACTTTTACATGAGGTTGAAATTTTCTCTTTTGTTGAAAAATCCTATCGCTTATTGTCTACCACTGTTTTAATGATAAATTGGTTGATATATACTCGATATTTAATATTTTAGTCCTTCGAAAGAGCAATGAAGTTCTCTCACGAGGAAGTACACATATGGACGCAGTACGCGCTATGCCTAATAAGCATGGGGAGGTACATGCACGCGTATAGAGTTTTGAAGGTAGTCGCCAGGTTATCGCCTCAGAAAGTAATGCCCTGTTTATTAGCGGCGAGGCTATGTTACGAGCAGTTAAATATGGTAATAACTATATTTCTTATCTACATCTTTACCTACATTAAAAAATAAAAAGCATATTCCCACGCTGACGATTTTGAGCAGATAAATGAAGGTATCGAATGGAGCCAAAAGGCTCTGCAGCGAGAGATGGCGAGTCCACAGGGGATGCAATCTAGGTGCCACTTGTACATCGGAATCGGTCACAGCATGCTCTCTACGAACACAATCGTGAAGCAGGACAAAGTGAGTCACACAAACACTGCGATGGACTGCTTTCAAAAGTACGTATTTCTCGCGTAGTTCAACAACAATTAAGAAACGGCATTCTCGTAGATTTTTTTCTTAATTGATTAATAAAAGATCATGTATTCTCGAATAGGGCGCAACAGTGCGATCCCAATGATCATCTGGCCGAATATTACCTGGCTCATGAATATGCGATAAACAGACAAATAACCGACGCCATCGTACATGTGAAAATCGCGCTAAATCTACGAGCAGAACACATTCCATCATTGCATTTATTCGCATTACTCTTGTCGGCACATAAGCAATATTCTGAGGCATTACATGTGATAAATAGCGTACTAGAGGAATATCCGGACAACTTGAATTTCCTCTATGTAAAAGCGCATCTCGAATTACGAAGCATTGGCGGTGTCGATGCATTATACACCATCAGTCACATGCTACATCTGTGGAAGAGTCTTTATGAGGATCAGACAAACGTTAATTGTAACGAGCAACAGAGCGAGAAGCGCAGCGAGACTAGAAGCGTCTTTCAGCTTTACACGTCGGAAATGTCCGATAAAGATTCTAGTGAGTTACATACATCGTATACGTAATGTAAATAACATTAGGTAGAAATAACAAACAGATTATGTGTCATTTAAACAGATAAAATCATTTATCACGTTCCCCAATAACATCCCAATATTTTGTTAACCAAAATTTAAT